TCACAATCTGCCCACTCCTACTGCATCCTCTCTCGAGGCTGCTTTCTGACAGCTCATTTTCGCCTCCTAGACACTCGCTGCTGCCATGTGTCCCTAGGTCTGCAGTCTAACCATCGATTCTGTAATCCGTCGATCAGGCTACAGCGCACTATTGACCCCAGGCGCAGAGCGCTGCTCCACCTTCAAAAGCGTCTAACCCACATCCGGCCACGTGGCGTCATGAGCGTACGCGTTGATGAGTAAAATGGTCACTGGTGTCATGCGAAACTGTCAGTGGTGTCATGCGAAACGGTCGGTGGTGTCATGCGGAACGGTCAGTGGTGTTATGCGAAACGGTCAGTGGTGTTATGCGAAACGGTCAGTGGTGTCATGCGAAACGGTCAGTGGTGTCATGCGAAACGGTCAGTGGTGTCATGCGAAACGGTCAGTGGTGTCATGCGAAACGGTCAGTGGTGTCATGCGAAACGGTCAGTGGTGTCATGCGAAACGGTCAGTGGTGTCATGCGAAACGGTCAGTGGTGTCGTGCGAAACGGTCAGTGGTGTCATGCCATGCCATCAGATGCTACCCTAGAGAGTAACGTCCACGAGATGGTTCGTGCTCTGAGCTGGACAATACGCAGCGTACTGCGGACGCTAGACTCATTCGACATACAACCTACGTATATACCCTGCTCTTCCTCTCGGATTTACAGGACGTACCCGGTGTAGCCGAATTTGGCGCGGTGGATGTTGCGCTGTCGGATCCAGCAGATGCAGACGCACAGGAGGCAGAACGCCATACCGAACGTCACGCCTGGAAGAGGGCAACGAGAGCACGCAGCGCAGGAGTCAATCAACATTAATCTCCATCATCCTTTCTCGTCTCGGACCACCCTCTCGTACTCTTTATTGTTCACTGTCCCTCCACTTTATCCCCTTAATTTCCTAGGAAAACGCTGGTTACATCGCGCACGACCGGGGTGACGATCGTATGACATTGCGACGTTTGCACTTTGGATAACAAGGTTCACAACAAACGATGTACTCTGATTGGATGAGTATCTAATAATGACGTAAAGAGAAGCGATGGCTGATGTGAAGATAACTACGATAGCCAGGGTCCGAATCAAACGAGTTCGAGGCTGTTCGAAACAGACTATAATCACTCACCGAGTGCATCGTGATTTTTGCGTCAAACTCGAAAGTGGCTCGTCGCGGGTTGAAATAACTCACCGAGAACAATGCCAATGATGCCTTCGGGACCAATCCCGTCGCTCTGCATCTTCGTGTACGTCCCTTGGAAATCGTACTTGGAGTAAAAGTCGCCCTCCACTGTTCCCGCCTGTTCTGTGGGCGTCAGACCTGACGGCTCTGTAGCATCGTCGCCGACAACGGTACCGGCCGGCATGTTCTCCATGTCCTGACCGATCTGCTCGTCCGTCTTTGGCGGCTCATCGACCGGCGCTTCGTCAACTGGCGGCTGATCGGCGGGAATGTCTTCAGGCGGAATGTCCTGGTTGAAGGGGTCTTGAGGCACGCCCTGCTCGCCGTCTGCAGGCACGTTTGCGGGGTAGTCCCCCTCTCCCTCGCCGGCGAAACCCGCGTTTTGCGGCTCTGGCGGCTCTGGGTAGTCCTCATTCGCCGCTGGATCTTGCGCGTGGCATCGTGTGGACGAGAGAACTAGGCAAATCAGAGACAGCAGGATAGCCAACCGAGAAAATCTCGCCATTTTGAGATCTAAATCACCGTCGCACTGCCTCAACTCAGACCGCTACCTAAGCTAGAAGCAGCAGTTGAGACTTGATGACTAAATCTGAACAGCTGGGCTGAGAAACCAAATGCTTGACTGAAGAAATGACCCATGCGCTGATGACCAAAAATATGCCCAACTGTTCTCTTCCCCTGCTTTTCTGGTCGTAGGTATTCCCTCATCTCAGTCTGCGATACCGAAGGACAGCGAAGTTCGAGGCAGGTTTTGCAGTACTCTACCTAGGCGTTAGGTACGGACCTCGAAATTTGCTGGGCTGGAAGTGGTTCGTGCGAGCCTCGAGTTTATCACGTCAAAACTGTTTGCGCCGAACCTCAAGGCGCGGCTGGGCTCGGCAGGGTCACATCCTTGTTGCGTCGTTCGGGTGTCGCACACAGCTGTCGTAGGTTCGCTCGGGATTGTTTTGTCAAGGTGCTCTGTCGTCGTCAACCCCGAAAGCGAAGGATTCGGGGCTTTGGAAAGTTCCAAGAGCACGTCCAAGCGAGAAACGCAGGTTCGGAAATGTGCGGAGTCGGAGGTTACCACTGCAATTTACCAGACTGCAAATTTTCAATTTCGCACAGGCCGACGTCGCTTGTGGCGAAAGTCTGGGCTGGGGCAAGCTGGCCCATTCTGAGCGACCACCCCTAGACCAATCACCTGAGAGATGGGAATCGCTCAACTCCAACAACCCCAACCACATGACACTATCGCTCTTACAGAGGTCTTCCACCTGCGACGCGTAGCAAATCATCCTCGATACCGCGTCATTACCAGAACCCTTCTTGAAGGTCCCAAGTGTGCATAGACTGCAGGGCAGCTATATAAGTTTCACGCAACTACAATCGAAGTTTGGTGCCGCAGTACCGCTGTCCTTTCGTATGCGTTCGTAGAGGTAACCGTTCTCGCGCCATCTCGGGCATCGCATGCGTTTCGTATGTTGAGGCCCAGGCCATCCAAATCAATCGAAACCTCGAACCGCGTGAACGCCCGCATCGCATCCCATCGAAAATGTGCCCAATATTTCAACATTTCGGCACACCACACGCCTTTACTGCTCCAACAAGGCTAAGTCAACCCCCCATGGCATTTCATGTGACAGATCTGGCCTCCCCTCATATCTCATCTCGCCAATCCATCTATCAGTAGGTGCTGCTCCGTCAAGGTTACGTGCACTTCTCTGCAACCAACACTTCCGCGCCTCAATCTCGGCAGTTTCCTTTTTCATCGCGTCGTTTCCCATAGAACGCGTAGTGCCTGGCTCCCCTTAGATGGAAAACAAGGTGCGACGAGTCGGCAACATTGTCAAGCAAGGCGCAGACGGTAGAGTAGCCGGGAGAGGACACTGGAATGTAGAGGATTACTGAGGGAGACCGTGAAAGAGACACAGAGAGACACCTTTCCACGAGCATTCACTAACCGCATCATGGACGGCCAAGATCCTGGCCCGCGGAATCGCTGCATTTCCTCCAATCGTATCTCCAAACAGCGATCTTTTCCCCCGGCCTTCCGCCACCTCCTCCTCTTCCCCCTCCTCCTGATACCTCTGGGACCGCCGGCGTGCCGCGTTCTGCCACACGCGCATGCCGCCTTTCACACGGACCTGCCAAAGCACACGATTCCAAGTCCTTTCACCAACGGATCAGTATCGCCGCCACGTGGACAGCATTGGCCATGGAGATCGGAATCGACGGAGGGGAATGACGGAGGCGAGGCGGCACTTGAGGAACGAAGAACTGACCCGAGCCTAGTTTTGAGGCGCCTCAAAACTAGCGAGGCGGCACTTGAGGAACGGGGAACTGACCCGAGCCTCTACCGCGTCTCTCTCTCGTTCTCTCGCGACCTTATGCAGAGGGGTAAGAAGATTACTCGCGACACCGTCAGGAATAGTGGGGCTAGTACTCGACAGGAGACAGGTGAAGGGAAGACGAATGCGACAGCTGCGAAAGCAGCGAAGAGATCACTGAAGAGAAAGCCTTCGAGCAGGGAAGCGGAACGGGGGGAGTCGGGCAGGGGTAAAGGAGGTTCGGTATCAGCGGCGCAGATAGGAGATAGCAAGGGGAGTGCAGCAGCAGGGAAGCAAGGAAAAGACGCGACGGTTTCACTACTCGTGCCGGCTCGTAATACGACCAAGCCCGCTGCTACTAGCCGGCGTAATGCAAGTTCTAATGAAAGTCCTAGAATGCCCGTCCCGAGTAGAAGTAATTCGACCAAGCCCCCTGACAAGCCGTCCGCCAAGAATGTCAGCCGGGGGAAGCTTCCCTCTGCGTCACCGAAGGTTCCGGTCGCTGGCAAGTCAAACGCGTCCGCGGCAAGTCCGTCGGGCAGCAAGAGGTGGAGCAAGGGAGCACCGTCCACGGGAACGAAGCCGCCGGCACAAGGCGGAACACCCGCGCAGGGCGAACCCGGCTCGCAGGCGAACGGACCTGGAGGAGCCACGTCAGCGTCGCGACACAAGGCAACCAGATCCCCCTCTCCTGCGAAAATTCCGTCGCAGACCAAACAGCCGTCTACCAAGCAGCCGTCTGCCAAACAGCCGTCTGCCAAACAGCCATCTACCAAACAGCCGTCTGCCAAACAGCCGTCTGCCAAACAACCGTCTGCCAAACAGCCATCTGCCAAACAGCCGACTGACAAGCAGCCAGTTACCGAACCAGGCGCTACCAAACCACCACCACGGACCAAACCACCTCTGAATCCAAGACAATCCCCCAAGACCAAACCTACTCCTGGGTCTCAGACTACCAAGCCTCCCTCCCATACCAAGCTGCCCACCCAACCCAAACCTTCTACCAGTCCCAAACCTCCAGTACAGACCAAACCTCCTACCCAATCTAAGCCAGCCAATCAGACAAAGCCGCCAGCTCACTCCAAACCTCCTGCTGAAGCGAAACCTCCGAGCCAAGGCAAGCCGTCAGGCGTTCCACCAATCAGACCCAAGATTCAGCTGTTCCACGTGGCAGGCAATAACTCGTTCTGCCTGGATGGCAGGTACGACTCTGACAGGCTGTGCTCACGTGGCATTCATTTGGCTTCACACATCAACGAAACCTTGAATGCACATGCGTGTGTGCAGAATTTTATTGAGCGGGAGAGTGTCTATGTGGGGTGATGGGGGGGGTGGGGGGGGTTGTGTGTGTGTGTGTGTGCTCTAATCATGTGCCTATTGTACCTATTGTGTGTATAATGTGTACTGCGTGTACTGCATGCATCGCATCTGTATTGTGTGTGTGCGCAGCCCGCCAGCCTACTACTTCCGCCAGGGCTACGGCAATGGCTCCAACGCATGGCTCGTCTACCTACACGTGAGTTGGGCTATCTATCATGTGGCAGGGAACTATCTACCTGCATGTGAGTTGGACTGGGTATGGGAACCGATTACATGTGGGATGCCTTACCTGCTCCTGCTTCCATCCATCTAATTTTCACTGTTTCTCCGCTCCCCATCTCCCGTTTCTCATCCCCCCCTTCCCATCTCCACCTTCTCATCCCCCCCTTCCCATCTCCACCTTCTCATCCCCCCCTTCCCATCTCTAGCTTCGCATCCCCCCCTTCCCATCTCCAGCATCTCATCGCCCCCAACCCATCGTCCTCTCCCCACTCTCCCTGTCAGGGCGGCGGGTGGTGTCTCAACGTCAACGACTGTGCCGCGTGTCTCATCTCCCCTTTCCTCATCTCCCCCGCCCCATCTCCCCCGTCTCTATCTCCCACTCCTCAATCCCTCCCTGTCAGGGCGGCGGGTGATGCCTCAACTTCAACGACTGTGGGTTGCGAGCCGACTCCTACCGCGGCTCCTCCCGCTACTGGCCCTCCCCCTCCTCGCCTTCCAACCTCACCCGCCTCGTATGCCCACTCCTTCCCAAGTGCCCATGCGCCCACGTGCCTACTTGTGCCCACGTGCCTACATGTGCCCGTGTGCCCACGTGCCTACATGTGCCCGTGTGCCCATGCGCCCACGTGCCTACATGTGCACGTGCTCTCGTTCTCATGCTCGTGTTCCTGCTTCCTTCTAAGGCCTCTCTTCAGCCCCATGCCTCATCCACAGGTCAAATGAATTCCCGTTCTTGTCACTCACTCCCTGCTCCTCTGCCCTTCCACATTCCCACTCCCACGCACCTGTACTTTGCCTTGTGTCTTTTGAGTCCACTCAAAAGTCACCTGTACTTGGCCTCATGTTCTAACTTGCATCTCGCTACTCTCCTTTCTCCGCCATGCCACGTCAGATGGCTGGTTACCGCATGAGCTTCACGGGCATACTCAGCGGGAACGCAGCCGACAACCCCTTCTTCCACAACTGGAACATGGCAGTCGTCATGTACTGCGACGGAGGCGCTTATATGGGGTATAAAGGCCGCATGCAGCAGGGCTCTAAGCGAGTCTTCCTCTCAGGCCACCACATTCTCAAGAACACCATGATTGACTGCAGCAGCAGAGGGGCATGAGGACAGCAGTGGGGTGTGACTGGATGGCCTCGTTTCTGCCACGCACTGCTAAAGTCAAGTGCTCTACTGATGCTTCTTTCTTCCTGGGTACGACCAACCCCCTGGACCTGCTCGTATGGAGTCTCCTTCTGGCCTATTCGTTGCCAGCGTGTTTCTTTCCTCCCTGTCTGATGCTTTCTCATGCCCATGTTGTCGTTCTACATGAGAGGGCAGATGTGACACGGCAGTTCAGCCGGTAAGGCGCGTCACACCATTCCCTGCTGTAACCTCCTCGTCATCTTCTGTTGTATTCACTCATTTTTCTCTCCGTTCAGACGAGGCCGACATCACAGGGCAGTTCACCTTCAGATCCTACATGCAGCGCATGATCGCCTCCCATTGGTCGGATCGATCTCTCAACACTGAGTGCCTCAGAGGTACAACTGGGATCAAAATTTCCTCTGAGTGCCTCTTTTCAATGTAATTCACATCCCCCCCCTCGGAGTTTCTTGTTCCGTTCTATGCATCAACCCAACACAAGTGATTCATAATTCCCTCCCCTACCTCCCTATTGCAGCCAACACTGGGGATGGGACCTGGAAGTGCATCATGCCCCGAACAGCATTGGAGTATGGTAAAACTCCTACGCTTGTTGTCAACAGTGTGTTTGATTTGACAGCACTCTACATGTCCCTGTCCCGTGGAAAACTTCCTGGGGGTGCTGTAACACAATCAGCAACGACATGCCTCAGCTCCAACAATTTTTTTTCCTGCCCAGCAAGTGTCCTTAAGTTCATTACACTGCATGGAAGCATGTTTCGGACTTCACTATCATCCCTCCTGCGAGTCAAGGCGGCTGCAAAAGTCCCATTCCGATGATGGATATCAAATGGAACAAGCCATTGCGCATTAGCGTATTCCAATTGGTCGGCAGCAAACCCAAACGGCATGGTGCTAAGAGATGCAGTAGCTAGGTGGTTTGCTGAAAACTAGCCCAGTTTTCATTTTTTTTTTTTTTGTATTATAGAATCCACAAAGGAAGGCTATATCTGTCAATGTATTGCTAGGTACCGTAGCTTTATTTATTCTATGGTGACTTAGCATATATTATCGGAACTGTAATGTATAGCTTCTAGATTGTTTTGGGGCTTGACCTTTCCTAGGTGTTGCAATCGATGCCGTTGAGGCCTTTCATCGAACGGCGGAAAGCAAGTCTTGGCACGGAAGTCCGCTCGCCACGGCGGCGGGCCCGCCGAGGCAATGGGCGCTTCACGCGGCACTGCGTGCGTGCACCATCCCCGCAGCAGCACAAAAAAGCGTGTCGCGCAATGGGAATTCCCCGCATCTCCGCATTTGCCCTTGCTCATCCCAATTTCTTGTCGATTTCCGCACAGCAAGCCCTCTAGTCACCCTTGTAGTTCCGCCAGTCATTCTCCCCCTCACACCCTTCCAGCAAATCCACGCAGAGCTGCTCGGAACATGACTTCCCACTCCCCGTCTCAGTTTCTGGTCTCGCTTCCCCCCTCCCTCCAGCTACTTTCCCCCCACCGTCACCTTCTCCGCTCCCATTTGCTCCTCTCCCCCATGCCCCTCTCAACACCGTCAACCCCGCCGAATGCTGCGGGACTTGCGCATGGGGAACTCTCAGCAAACCCGCGCCTGCTCACCGGGCTGAAAGTGCTCCTGAGAAAACTGGGAACTTCAGACCTAGGGTAGTTGATCCGTGCCGTCTTCTTTAGTCAGTCCGTGCCGTCCTATTTCGGGTCGGCCTCTTTCCGCAATCTCGCATAGTTGCTTCGCGTCGCGCGTCAAAGCCTCTTGACAACCGCTCTCTCTTTTTTTTTGAAACGCAAGGCCAGCCGAATTTCGGGCGTTCGATACCTGTGCCTGTTTCGGTCAATTCAGCGGGGTCTAGGAACAAGCATTGTTTTGCAAATAACTGCTCTAAACAACGTTCGTCGATCTTGTAGAAGTCAAAGTTCCCAACGATTTTTGCTGCCATACCGTGCGTATCGCCGCTGGCCTGAACAACGTCGCAGCTAAACTACAAAACCAAGATAATCTAGCCTGTCCGAGTGTCTTTTCTTAGCCTACTAGAATTCGCATCTTACGACGCGTCAGAGTTGTTAGGACCGATGGAGTCCACGCGCGACGACGTTCACACACCCAGCAAGCGGCACAAAGGCTACAACGGCTATCCTACTCCCACAGACGGCAACGATCAGCAGCCGCCGCAATCGTCGCCGACTCCTAACGCCGGACAAGCCCAGGGGCAGTATTCCGCGCAACAAGCATACGCCTCTCCGCAGCAAGCGTACGCCGGCCCCCAGCAATACACCTCCCCGCAGCAGCCGTACACGTCACCTCAACAACCCTTCAGCACGCCGGTCACCGCGTCGCATGCAGTCGGCCCAGCTTCCGGAAATAACGGGATCGGTAGTTCCCCTCTGACTACCGCCACCATGGCTCCCCCCAGCGCTCCGTCAGTCGCGCTGGAGCTAACGCATGGCGGCTCACAACCCGTCTCCGCCGCCTCGACCCCCGTCCGCGCGCATTTCGTCGACGCGTCTCAATCTACCCCTGTCCGCGCGCACCAACCACACTCCCCCTCCCCCGGTTCCGCTGCTGCGCACACGTCTGCGGTCACGGTTGTGCAGGCATCTCCGCTTACTGTTGCGCCCAGTCCCTCCCCATCTCCCGCTACTGGAACTCCCGGAGCCGTTGCAGCGTCGCCAGGCGGGGTAGGTGCGTCGCCGGGTGGAGTAGGACCGTCGCCAGGAGGAGTCGCAGCGTCGCCAGGGGTCGCAGGGTCAATGCACGACCCGCCGTGCGCGGCGTGCAAGTCGCTGCGGCGGAAATGCACGCGGGAGTGCATCTTCCTGCCCTACTTTCCCCGTGACGATCCTGAGAAGTTTGCGCGCGTGCACAAGGTGTTTGGAGCCAGTAACGTGTCCAAGATGCTGCAGGTGAGCCCAACTGCTCGCCTTCACCCTCTTGCAGCCCCTGGCCCTCCTATTTTCATCCTTCTCCGGAGCTCCCTTGTCCTGCTGTTGGATGGTCTGTTCTTGACATCCCCGTTGTCCTGTTTAATGCCCATTTTCCCATTTTATCAACATATATGACTTGCGGCTTCCCATTGCTCTTTTCTCCATTGTGTTCATGTCTTGTGCCCGTGACTGCTCCATGCATCAGGAGCTGCCCCTACAGCAGAGGGAGGATGCGGTGGCGAGTCTAGAGTATGAGGCACAGGCCCGGGTGCAGGATCCAGTCTATGGCTGCGTTGGCATTCTCTGCGTGCTCCAGGTACAGTAATGATGCTGCTTGGTGTTTCACTCAATTCCTATTTGCATGTCAGGTTGCTGCATGGACTGATGTTCTTTTGTGGACTGTTCTACTGTGCAGCGACAAGTGGTTGCTTTGAGGGAGCAATTGGCAGCAGCCCAGTCCCAGGCGCAGATGCAGTTAGGGAATGGAGGTGTTGATGTCAATGGCCAAGCGGAAGTTCCACAACAACCATCCCCAGCAGCAAATTTAGCCACAGGAGGAGCTTCTTGATGTCCGATGACCATTTTGTCGAATGGCTGCAGCAGTTTGATGTATTAGTAGACGTGTTTTGCCAATAATGTGTTATGGTTTGAGATTTTGAATTAGTGGTGAGGAGGAATTGCTTGGAACTTTGATTCTTTATGCACAAGAAGTGATGGTGAACTAGCGTAACATGGCGAGGAATTGTAGCGTCGCTCACGAATCAACCGTTAGGCGTTTCCTCCCAATACCACTCGAGCTCGGTCGGTCCCCTCTCGCGGTGCAGCTGGCCTGCGCTCCGCACGCGGACCAAGCATCAGTTGGAAACGTGGCAGCGCTGCGTTGGCGGACCTCGAGACTTGCGTCCTCCTCCCCCCACCATTTTGCGCCCACTTGTGCTTGGCACGGAAACCCACAGCGGTGGCTGGTTTGACCACGGAGAACCTGTGAATGGGCATTCCCAAGGCGCGCTACTTTCAGTCCAATATATACCCAGCTTAAACCTGAGTAAACCGAACCCAACCACGCAAGGCAGAAACTCATGGATATTCCCAAGAAGCACGATTCCTTCCATGCCACGAGCATCCATGAACTGCATTTCCAAAAACAAGACACATCCTGCAGCCAGCAGTGGTCTCAATGTGTGATTCTTGTGTTATGTCTCCAGCTAAGGCAGAAGCTAGTTAGGGCATCCTATTCAGTACGGGTAACTGCTCGAACGTTCATAACATATTTATGTGAAGAGGTTGACGTTCTCTCGGCTCGCCGTATACGTACTCAGAGCACCCAGCCACTTTGTTGAGAAAGCCTGCAGCCCAGAAGAAAGGCGCTGGACAAGTGAAAACTCCGGATTAAGTCGCGGCACAGGCTCGAGGCAAGATGGGGGTCCTTTCGCGGCGAGTAGTGCCGCTGTGCGCGGACGTCTTCTGCTTTCCCTGTCCGCAGATGCGCTCGCGCTCTCGCAAACCCATGAAGCGCTACAAGCAGTACCTCGCCGCGATATTCTCGGCGTCAGATGTACGTCTTACACCCCACTGAATGTAGTTCTAGCAATAACCAGCCTCAATGGTACAGAAGCATCACTTTCGTTGTTCAACTCTCAGCTCTCGTTGATTTGTTGATCTCTTGTTCGCGTCTCATCCTGCATTCCAGTTCCACCTCTCCGCATCTCCTTTCTGATCCGTTTGACTTCGTTCCAGAAAGGAAACGTTGACGAGAAGCAGATAGGAAAGCTTGCGGATTACGCGGCGGGAAACCCGGACCGCATTCCGAAGATCGTGGCGAAGCTGGAGGAACGCGCCATCCGCGAGCTGCGCGCCGAGCGGTTCAACTCGCTACCCGCCGTGGCTCGGTCGTACTCGAAACTGCTCTCCTCGTGTCAGAGCTCCCTGTGAGTGCATATTCACTCACCACCTCTCTGCATCGAATGACACCCCCTGGCCTTCTGCCATAACTCCCCCCATCCCCGGTCCGGAGCAAACAATCGCACGTCATTCGCATCCGCGCATTCATTTGCTACGCTTCCTCACCGCCTCCCCACTCTCTCCTTCACCCTGCCTCTGAACTTCTCCCGCTTCCTTCGCTCTTTCTTCGGTTGTCGGCAGCGCGCTGCTGGCATGGAGCGTGCTGAGCGTGGTGCAGAAGCTGCTGCAGAGCAAGCGGGTGGACGTGCGCGTGCTGGGGTGCGACCTGCTCGCGGATTTCGTGGACTGCCAGTCGGACGCCGCGTACGCCGCGCCCATTCAGAAGCTGTGCCCCACGCTCGTCGCCATGGCGCACGAGGCCGGCTCGCAGGAAGACTCTCGGGCCGCCAGGTCGTCCGCGTTAAGAGCTATCGCCGCTGTGGTTAGTACACTATGCACAATTACAAGTATGAGCTGCTGCATGGCGTTCCTCCTGCCATTCTCGTCGCATGCTCCGCATGCAACGTGTTATAGTATACGCGTTGCCTCACCTGATGTCTTGCTGCCTGGCTCCCCCACCCCACTCCCTCCCTCCTCCTCTCTCGACCAATGCAGATCCTCTTCGTCTCCTACTTCTCCCAGCCCTGCGACTGCCTTGACCAGGTAACCTCCCACCGCCCTCCTTCCTTCCCTTCCCTCTCTGTGTCCGTGTCTCTTGTCTCTCCTTCTCAATCCTTTTCGTCCCCTTCTCTGAGTCCTGTGCCTTGACCAGGTTCCCTTCCACCCACCTTCCCTTCATCCCCTTCCCCCTCTCGTCCCCATAATTCTCCTCTCCACTCTCCTTTTCACCACTTCACCCATATCCCCTCAGTTGCTCGCAGCCGTGCTGGACAACTACAAGCCGCACGCGGCAGGCGCAGGGGATGAGGGGGCAGCAGCAGCGGATAAGGTGCGGGAGAGGACGCACGAGGCGCTCAAGAAGCTGACGCTGCAGCAGCAACAGCAGCAGGGTGGTGGTGGTGGCAAGGAGAAAGATGGGCTGCATCAGGAGAGGAAGCTGGTCACTCCATTGCCCTCCAAGTCAGTACTCTGCCTTACTCTTCAATTTATAGAGCACATCGCCTTCTTCCTAGCTGTCCTTCCTCTCTCACGCACACCCTTTCATTCTGCGCTTCACACCCTCGTTCAAAAAAAAAAAAATCCTCTTTTCACTCCTCCGTTGCTCCCCCTTCCGTTCTCCCACACCCCAGGCAGGAGCTACAGCACCCAGAAGTGGCGGCGCTGGTGGCGGTGTGGGCGCTGGCGCACATGTTTGCAGCCGCGGTGTCTCTGTCCTCCCAGCAGGTGCTGGCGCATCTGCTGCTCTACCTCTCCAACGGCTCCCACTGGGCCGCGCCTGCTAGCCAAGGCGACGCAGCAGCAGCAGGGGCAGCGGGGGCGGGGGCCGAGGCGGGGGCAGCAGGCAAGGGAGGGGTTGCAGGGCAGCTTCTAGAGGATATCTGTCTGGCTCTCCGGTTCCTGGGTGAGTGAATGCGTTCCTAGCAGGTAGTCACCATGCGGACTCCTCACCCCCTCCCTGTTGCACTCCCCATTTTGCTACTCCGTAACCTTTTCCTCCTCTCTGTTCTCTCTCCCTGTCTCCCGTTCCCTTCATCCCAGCCACTCGCTCCCCTTCGCCCACCAAGGAGGAGAGGCGACTCCTACTGGCGCTGCTGGCAGCAGTTATCCGCCACGCGGATTCCTCCCCCGCCCTGCGCTCCCCCCGCATGCGCCACGATGCCCTTGCTGTCGCGGGGGGGCTGCAGCTGGCGCACCTGCTGCTGGCGGACGGGGGGAAGTGGGCGGAAGGGGGGAAAGAATCTGGGGGAGAGAGCGCAGGGGGAGGGCCTGGGATTGGGGAGGAGAAAAGGGAGATTGGCGCAGGGGGAGCAGGCGGAGCGGTGAGCATGAGAGGAGGGCCGGAGGCAGCGAGTGAGGTGCAGGCCGTGGGTGACTTATTGCGGATACTGAAGCGTAGTATAGTGGAGGAGAAGCAGGGCGGCGGCATGGACGATAATATCATAGGGGAGGGGCAGGTGGGCGGCGGCGTGTCATTCAGAAAAAGACAAGGCGAGCAGCCTGCTCTGCAGGAGCAGGCGCTGAAGCTGCTGGTGCTGGTGACGTCATTGCACGTGAGTATGAGTCTTTTTGAGACGTCTCAATGATGCTGGTGCTCGTGACATCGTTGCATGTGAGTGTTGCGTGTCGAACCAGTATATCCATCACCAATCCGTGTAATTCCCAATTTGCTGTCACCTCTCAATCCTTTTTATCCCTTCCCTTCCACTCTCCTTCATTCCCCTGCCTCCTGCCTCTCTATACCCCCATCAGGCGGGCAGTCCAAGCAAGCGAGCAGCACTGTTGCTGGACGACACAGCAGTGTTTCTCAAGTCCCTTCCGTCACTGCCCTTCACTCCCTTCACTCCCCTGTCTCCCTGTCTCCCCCCACCCCTCACACCAGGCGGGCAGTCCCAGGGAGCGAGCATCTCTGCTGCTGGACGACACAGCAGTGTTCCTCGAGTCCCTGCCGTCCGACCCCTGGGGCTCCTGGGCCACGCTCGTCGCTGCAGAGGCCGCTGCTGCTGTTGTGGTGCTGCCTGTCGCTGTGGCGGTGGAGAGAAACGCGCAGGAGGAGGACGGGGAGGAAGAGGGTGATGGGGAGGAGGGGAAGAGGAAGGGCTCTGGAACTTTGGTGAGTCATTCTACTTGTCATTTGCTTCTTTAATGTTTCGGAGACGTCTCAAGAATCGTTCTTGATCCCTGTTTTCATTCTTTCTTCAAATCCGTTGCCCATGAAACAGGGAAGCTTCCCGGATGCTGCGCTGCTCAGCATCCTCCGCGCCTTCCTGCACCCGCATTCCGAGACAAGAGACGCCGCCCACCACCTGCTACAGCTGCTTCTCCGGGGCCCAGCAGCATTCCCTGCAAACGACAGGGACTGCTACGGCCTCGTCATAGCAGCCAGTGCTGTCACCACTCCACTGACCGCCACAGAAGACATCAAACGGCCCCCATTGTCCCCATCGCCGTCCCAGCTTCCTCTGCTGCTCTCCGCGCTCTGGCTGCAATCCGCCATGCCCTCTACCGCCCCCAAGTCCCTCTGCTCCCTCTCCTCCACCTTCCACGCCCTCCTCCCCTGCCTCTCCGCCCTGCCTCCCCCCTCCTCCTCCGCCTCCCCCTCCCCCTCCTCGCATTCCCTGTCCTCCTCGCTCCTCCAGTCTTTCCAACTCGCCCTCTCCCTCCGCAGAAAGGCTCTTTCTCTGCCTTCCGTTGCAGCACAGGGGGCAGCTGGTGGAGGGGCGGGGGGTGCAGGGGCAGAGGTGGAGGAAGAGGGGGGAGCGGGTGGGGGGGAGGCGGAGTGGGCGATTGGTCCGGTGGATCGGCGGTCGGTTTTCACTGTAGCCACTGCCATGTTCGCCGGGCTGGCCGGCAGCCTGGGCTTGGAGGAGGTGGCGGCGTTTGTCCTGTCTGAAGAGGCGTCATCGGCAGCTCTGGTGGGTGTTTTCATTGGTGGATGGCTGCACGTGCACGTCTGCCTAGTTCTCCTTTCCTTTCCTCTTCAGCTGCTGCTGCTGCTGTCGCTACTGCTGCTGGGTGTATTCGTGAGTGTGCTCCCCTGGTTGGCATCTCCGCTGATTGTTCTGCCTGCTGTCATGCATACCCGCGTGCCCTCATTCATATGCTCTTCCTCTTCCCTCTTCTTCCCAACCCCCCACTTTCCCCCCTTCTGCCACACTCCCCCCCACTTGCCCCCCTTCCACCACCTCTCCCCCCCCCCCTCCCAACCTTCTCCACGCCAGTCCAACCCCTTCCACGTCATCAATCCTGATGGGACTCTCTGAGAGCGTGTTTTGAGTTGACTCAACACACACCCCTCCCTCCCTCCCTCCCTCCCTCCCTCCACCCACCCCACGCCAGTCCAACCCCTTCCATGTCATCAATCCCGATGGCACTCTCTCAGAGCGCCGCCCGCCCACCTCCCAGAGCGCATTTGGCTCGCCTGCTGACTCGGAGCGGGCGGCGGCTGAGCTGGCAGGGGCGAGCAGCAGAGAGGAGGAGGTGCAGGTGCAGCTGGGGGAGAAGATATCTGCTGCAGTTGTAGCTGCGGTGAGTGTGCTGCAGTAATGGGTTGAGTGCGGGTGCCATGACAGTTGTCTTTCAAAATGCCCTGGAAGTGACCGGTAGTCGGTTTGCTGCCAGGCATAGCAGCTTTGGTCCCCTCGAACCAATCCCCCCTCTTACGAGTTCCCCTGACACCCAGTAAGGCCAGCACTACTGCAGTTATCCTTTCACCCCACAGACTCACTCGCCACCTTCATTATAATTCCATTCATTCGTAATTCTGCCCTCATTCCAGCTGCATTCCCTCCTCCAACTGTCCCATCTCCAACCGCCGCCCCACCCACCACTTCCCCGGGCATGCAGTGGAGCTGATAGTGCTGCTGCCACCCTCCCATCCTTCGACCTCACTCGCCCCCCACACCTGCCTTATTCCGTCTCTTTCTTTCAACTCTCCCCTTCTTTCTACAGTTCCCGGGTCACTCAGTGGAACCAGTACCACTACTGGCACCCTTCCACCCATCAGACTCGCTCGCCCTCACACCCGCCTCATCTCTCTCCCTTTCAACTGCCCCCATTACCAACAGTTCCCCGGTCACTCAGTGGAACCAGCATCGCTGCTGGCACCCTTCCACCCATCAGACTCGCTCGCCCTCACACCTGCAGCCGACATGCTCGCTGCAGTCGCTGCTGACTCTGCTGCTCCCATCCTCCCTGCCTTTGAGGTACCCTCTTGCCTTCTATCACTTCATTTCTTTTATTATTTTTAGTTTTTAAGGACAAAATTGAAGTTTTTTCTCTGTGCCCCACCATTCCTCCCTTTCGCCCTTCTCTTGGCCTCCTACCTCACTGACCTACATGAGCTACATTGCACAACCCTTTCTCCTAACCTCCCCTCCATGTGCGTCCCCCCTACCCACTCCTTTCCTATGCACGCCAGGACTTGCCGGCTGCCATTCCTGATGAGGAACTCTTCCGAGCCTCCTCCGTCCCGGACCTGGCCAGGCCTGGCCAAGGCAGCAACGATGGGAGCAACCGAGGCTCGGACAATGCCGGTGCTGCTTTGGCGGATGATAAAGCAGGTGCAAGTGTACCGAGTGTGGAGCAGATATTGGAGTCGTTACAAGAAGATCAAGAGATAGTTGCCGACACAACTCAGGCAGGTGTTACAGGTGGTGAAGGGTCAAGTGTAGATGCCGCGTTGGCTATATTGGATGACTGAGTAGAGAACGTTTTGGCTTGCTGAGGTGTGATCAACATTTATTGCATGAGTTGTAGTATCACTAGGTAGGTCTGTGACGGTTCTTAATTATGTAATGTAGGTGTCTATTTAGCCTAGGAAGGACTTTGTAAAGTATTGGTGTTTTGAATAGTTGTATTTTGATGTATCATGCTGGTTCCATTAGATTATGAGATGGCATATTAGCATGCCGAACCTGTCTGTGACTATGGAGCTAAACAGGCATAGCGGGGAAATTCGTAACGAGGCGCCACCTCTAGTTGTTTCTCACCCACTAACCCCGCAGCCTCCAACCCTCAACCTCGGGGAAATCAACAACCTTCAAATTCGCCCCATTATTTGTCAGCGCGCTGCGCAACACGAGCAGGTCCCTGAAAGTTAGACTTGAGAGTGGAATCATAGCGTGGAAGTATGGCGGTGGATGGTGGAAAGGATAGGAAAAGGACAAAAGGCAAGAAACGGAGAGCGGATCCAGCCAATGACGGCGATCCACGTGTCGGCGCGGACATTGAAGAGCCTGCTGCTGAGGGAGCGGTAAACACGGCGGGAGGCGCGGCTGCTTCCGGGAAGAAGAAGAGAGCGCGAAAGGCCAGGGGCGAGGGGAGTGAGGCGGGCGCGCTTAAGGAAGGCCGGGGGGGGAAGGGGAGGCTTGCGGATGGGCGGGATGAGGCGGAGGAGGACGAGGGGGAACAGGGGGGAGCGGAGCAACAGGGGGAAGCAGCAGGAACAGCAGCCGAGGGCAGATTGGTAGCAGGGGCGGAAGACGCGGAATTGCGGGAAGACGCGGAACTGGGGGTAGATGCGGAATTGGGGGTAGACGCGGAACTTGGTGTTGATGCGGAATTGGGGGAAGATGCGGGAGAGGAGGAAGTGGAAGAGGGGGAGGTTCCGCAAGACGACAATGATGTTCACGGGTTCGCGGAAGCGGACGCGGATCTTTCCCCGCGCGAGCTGCTTCCGCAACTAGACGCGGAAGCCGCCAGCCAGAAGCGCATGAAGGCACACAAACTGGTCGCGGAAGCCGCGGCGGCCGTCGCGCGGAGTGCGGCTCAGGGGAAAGGGCGCGGAAGCGGTTCCGATAAGGGCGGTAGTGAAGGGGGGACGGTGGCGGAGGCGGCGGCGGCGGAGTGGTTTCAGGCGCAGGTGGTGGCGAATTGCGGTAGAAGCATGTCGTCTGTGGAACGCGAACGAGTGATCCCAGGTGCGCTGTGATGTGCCGACACACAGGGGTTAGCCGGGGTTGAGGGTTTTAGAGCGCATTTAGGTGCGGGTGCTGGTAGCGAGCTGCGGCAGGGGCCTGTTGTCCGTGGAGCGGGAACGAGTGATCCCAGGTCATCCTGCCTAAGGAATCACAATAGTAAGGTCTTAGGGTCCAAGGTTTAGGGTCCAAGGTTTAGGGTCCAAGGTTTAGGGTCCAAGGTTTAGGGTCCGTCAACATGTTCGTTCTTCCAATGCTCTCCCTCTCTCTCGCCCTCGCCCTTCCCCTCCCCTGTCTGTCCCCGTGCAGCCTCGTCCATCGCGCTCTACAACATCCACCAACCCTCCTCGCAGCACCAGCCCGCCCCCAGCACCACCCAGCCGCCCGGTGCACAACTGAGCGGCAGGAGACCGGGCGGCAGAGGGGCGGAAGGCAGGGGAGCAGGTAGGGGCGCTAAGGGCGGCAGCGAGTCTGCCGCCGCCCACGTGGGGCCGACTCTTGCCGACCACCTGAAGCGCACTCTCGGCGCCACGTGGCGGTCTCTGCTGCTGCCACCTGGCGACGAGCAAGAAGCAGACAAGGATCAACAGAAGCAGGGAAAGGGAAAGAGGCAGCAGAAGCAGGGGCAGAAGGGGCAGCAGCAGGTGCAGCAACAGCAGCAGGGACAACAGCAGCTGGGGCAGCAGGGGGGAGAAGAGGAGGAAGGGGGAGAGCAGTGGGAGGCGGGGAGTCCAGTGGTGCTGATAGTGTCAGCGTCAGCAGTGCGGTGTGTGGACCTGCTGAGGGCGTGCAAGGGCGTGGGGCGCGGGTGCCGTGTGGCCAAGCTGTTCGCCAAGCACCTCAAGGTGGAGGAGCAGGTGGAGGTGCTGAAAGGACCTGTTCATATTGCTGCCGGCACTCCCAACAGGTGAGCCATTCCGGGTTGAGAGGTGCTTCATGGTTAAGAGAAGGTGATGCAAGAGAAGTGATGCAAGAGAAGTGATGCAAGAGAAGGTGATGCACGAGAAGGTGATGCACGAGAAGGTGATGCACGAGAAGGTGATGCAAGAGAAGGTGATGCACGAGAAGGTGATGCACGAGAAGGTGATGCACGAGAAGGTGATGCACGAGAAGGTGATGCACGAGAAGGTGATGCAAGAGAAGGTGATAGAGCGGAGGCTACTAGGTAACTACCAGAAGACTGTCATACCTTCAAGAGCGGGAGAATCAGCAGAGTCATTGGTTGATGTAACGATTCGTTATATTCGCGCATATTGTGTTAATAACGAAAAGGTACCTTTTTCCTGAACAGCCATCTTCTCCTCTTCATGCCGTCAGCTTTTTCGCTTATCGATTCCTCAACTTTAGATCGAACGATCGCAATGGACGGCTGGGATAGCACGACCAAATCCACGTTTCAGAAGGTCCCGCTTCTGACCATAAGCAGGCCCGCGAGACGAGCAATGGAAGCCGGGATTCGAGGAATGTCAGGCTTCAATTGAGTTCATGAAGTGGTAAAGGCCATGGAGCGACTGGCTCCAGCTGGCATCTGCTAATTCCGAAGGGATCAAGTGGAAGGTGCAGAGGCATCTGGACTTGTGAGGCAGCAGCGTTTTTAGACGTCTCAGAACCCTTCTTCATACAAGTGCAGAGGCATCTTGACTTGTGCGGCAGCAGCTGGGCTCGCTGCCAGCAGCACGTGCCACACTGCCTCACAGGGAGGAAAGTACCGATAGCAGCAGCATGTGCTATGCCGCCTCTCTTGAACTTGCTCACATAGAGTGACCATTCGAACAGGGGTGACTGACTGTAGTTGATTGTATTTACAAGCTCAATTATTGATGATTCTAATTCCTATGCAAAAAAAAAAAAAAAAGAAGGTGATGCAAGAGAAGGTGATGCATGGTGAACAAGAAGCACCTCAAAGTGGAGGAGCAGATGGAGCTGCTGAAAGGACCCGTGCATATCGCTGCAGGCACGCCCAACAGGTGCGTTGTGTGAAGCTGCGAGCTCCAACTCCCTGCTGTTCACATTCCCCACTCAACATTGCTGCAACCAAGCTGCTGAAGCCACTACCTCCCTCACATGCCCCACCCACCTCCCTACCGATGCACCCACCAGGCTGCTCAAGCTCCTCTCGTCCGGTGCCCTGCCGCTCGCCTGTCTGCGAGTGCTGGCATGCTGCCATCGCCCAGCGCCCTCACTTTGCTCCCCCATCCTTTGTTGCATACCCCCACCCGAGGCCCCCACCCCTTCGCACCCTGCCTGCATCCAGGTTGCTCAAGCTCCTCTCCTCTGCGTCTCGCCTGCCTGCGGGTGGTGGTGTTTGACATGCTGCCGTCTGCTCCCCCATCTTTCTTGCATGCCCCCACCCCACCCTGCCTGCATCCAGGCTGCTGAAGCTCCTCTCATCCGGTGCCCTGCGGCTCGCCTGCCTGCGGGTGGTGGTGCTGGACATGCTGCCATCGCCCCTCCGCCCCTCCAAGACCTTCACCCTCTGCTCTTGCTCACATTTCCCCCACATTCCCCCCCTGCACCAGGCTGCTGAAGCTCCTCTCGTTCGGGGCCCTGCGGCTTGCCTGCCTACGAGTGGTCGTGCTGGACATGCTGCCATCCCCCAAGGCCTTCACTCTCCTCTCCATGCCCGATGTCCGGTAAGCCTCGCTCTCTCCCACATGCCACGTTGGGACTGCAGGTACGTTGGGACTGCAGGTACGTTGGGACTGCAGGTACGTTGGGACTGCAGGTACGTTGGGACTGCAGGTACGTTGGGACTGCAGGTACGTTGGGACTGCAGGTACGTTGGGACTGCAGGTACGTTGGGACTGCAGGTACGTTGGGGCTGCAGGTACGTTGGGACTGCAGGTACGTTGGGACTGCAGGTACGTTGGGACATGATGCCTCATGCTCCAGCTGCCCCTCCCTTCTCGCTGCGCTGCCCTTCCTGCGTAAGAAACCCAGCTTCTGAGCCACTCCAATAACAAGTCACTGCGTAAGAAACCCAGCTTCTGGGCCACTCCAATAACAAGTCACTGCGTAAGAAACCCAGCTTCTGGGCCACTCCAATAACAAGTCACTGCGTAAGAAACCCAGCTTCTGGGCCACTCCAATAACAAGTCACTGCGTAAGAAACCCAGCTTCTGGGCCACTCCAATAACAAGTCACTGCGCCTCAACATTCCCCACCTCCCCTTTCTTCACCTCCCCCCCTCCCCTCCCCATACACCTATCTGCCGGTTCTCTCCGGCTCCCCATTTCCTCCCCCCACCCCCTCTCTCTCCCCCATTCCTCCTCTCCATTCTCCCCACTTCCCCACAGGGTCGAGTTCTGGGAGCTGTATCTCAAGCATCTGCACGAATCAGTTCTCTCCGGATCTGCTGTGCTGGCGCTCCACGACTGGACAGGAGACACGTCGCCTCCCAAATCAGGCGGCGGGAAGAAGCTTCCTGGAGAGCAGATGAAGGGAAAGAAGCGGGCGGCTGCCGGTGCACGGGGGGGAGAAGGAGAAGGAGAGGAAGGAGGAGGAGAGGGAGAAGGAGAAGGAGAAGAAGGAGGAACAGGGGAAACAGGAGACGCAGATGGAGGGTTGCAGAAGAAGCAGAAGAAACGGAAAGCTTCAAAGGCAACTGCTGCAGCTGAGATGAGTGGGGCTGTGGAGGAGGAAAGGGCAGGGGGGGCGGCAGGGCATGAGCGCAAGGGGAAAGGAGGGCGCGATGGGGGAAGGGGCAGAAGGAGTGGCGGTGGGGGAAGGGGTGGAGGAAGAAGGTGGTTTGATGAGAGGCTTTGGGGGAAGAGGTTGTGGTGCAAGGGGTGGTGGGGGAAGGGGTGGAAGGGGAAGAGGCGGCGGGGGAAGGGGAGGGAGGGGACGGGGCGGTGGTGGTGCAAAGCGCAGTGGTGGTGATTGACAAATGAGGAGATGGGCTGAATGCTGGGCCGTGCTGGGTTTGCCTGTGATGGCAAGGGGTGGGGTGCGGTGGGGTGGGGTGTGCAGACGGGAGGAGGAGGGTGGTGGTGCAAAGCGCAGTGGTGATCGACAGATGAGGAGATGGGCTGAATGCTTGGTGGGGTTGATGCTGCCTGTGATGGCAGAGAGGGAATTGCCGGGAGGAGGGCAGCAGAGCAGCAGAGCCGCAGCAGGAGGTGGTGACGAGGGAGGCAAGAGTATTGGTAGAGATGTTAATAGAATACCAACAGCACTAGGGCTGGAGAGGACGCAAGGCCAGGCCGGGCGTGCAAGGGCACTAGTGTCCATGAGGATACTGTAGTTGTGGGTCGAATAATGAATACGACATACCGTTTTTAAATCGAATAATGAAATATTGTTTCTTTCTGGAGCACTTCGTAGGCTAGCAAGCAGGTAGTTCCAACTCAGGAAAGCATTGCGAATAAATGATGTGCAGCAAGCCTGGACAGATGTGTTCTTCAGCCAGCTCTCTCTCTCTACTTCACTCCTTGTCTCCCAGAAGTCTGTAGAGAAAGATTTTTACCACAGCAGCTCGTAGTTGCAGCGGCAAGAGACCGATCATTATTCCATCGATACAGCCTGTTACAGGAGATGAGGCACCAGCAATGGGTGATGGGGTATTTGCTAAAACAACGCCCACCTGGCTCATAGCATCTACCGTACTTTTTCCTGCAGCTGCCACCGCAGCAGGTCTTTATTGAAATCATTGGCTCTTTTCTATCACAAGAGCTCGTGTCATCTAATCTCCCTGATAAACTTGTACGAGTCACAGCAGCAGGCCAGGTGGTTCCCCATCGGAGCTGTGTGCCTTGAGCTCCCAGTCTATGGGACTCGGGGTCTGATTCGCTGTGGCTGATGGGTGGATACATGGGGGAGAGAGGACGAGCATGCAAACGGAGGGAGGATGAGCATGCAGGGCGCAGGGAGGATGATCACGAGGGGAGGATGATCACGAGGGGAGGATGATCACGAGGGGAGGAAGAAAGATACTGCTGATAGTGCATATGTGTACGAGTGCATGCATGATTGTTGTCGGATAGAGCATGTGTGCAGGAGAGCAACTGAACAAGACAGCGAGGTATGAATGGTGTGTACTCACCCTGGGGCAGGGTGCTGAGAGCGAGGTTGAGCAAGCGGCACTGCAGGAACAAGCTGTGGACATGTGGAAGAGTGAACGAGCAAAGGTCAAGGCGTGCCCCTGCCGCCATGACCACCAGATGACATGCAGGTACTCACCCTGGGGCAGGGCGCTGAGAGCGAGGTGGAGCAGGCGGCGCTGCAGGAGAGCAGCGACGACGAGGAAGAGAGAGCACATGAGGAACATGGCCGTCATGGGGAAGGCTCGCACCTGAGGGGGGGGATTGTGGATAGAGGGGGGTGGCATTGAAGGGAGTACAGGAAACACGGTGGAGGGGAACACGCAAAAGAGATGGCGAGGAAGAGCGAGCACATGAGGAACATGGCTGTCATTGGGAAGGCTCGCACCTGAGGGGAATGACAGAGGGGGGGAAGGAGGGGAGAATGGGGATGAGGAGGAGGACGAAGAGGAGTAAAACGAGGAGAATGACGAGAGAGCACATGAGGAACATGGCCGTCATTGGGAAGGCTCGCACCTGCAGGGGAATGATAGAGGGGGGGAAGGAGGGGAGAATGGGGATGAGGAGGAGGACGAAGAGGAGTAAAACAAGGAGAATGATGAGAGAGCACATGAGGAACATGGCCGTCATTGGGAAGGCTCGCACCTGGGGGGGGGTGGGGCGACGGATTGAGAGGAGGAGGTGCGTGAAGAGATGGATTAAGGCAAAAAGCAAAGAGAGCACATGAGTTGGACGGCGAAATTTTTTGAGGCGCCTCAAAAACGACCGCAAAGAGAGCACATGAGTTGGACGGCGAAATCAGGAGATGGTGAGGGTACTCACGTGGTAGAGCAAACATGATGGTGGAACGGGAGGAGACAAACACATTGAGGGACACGCAGAAGAAGTTCATGATGATGGAATGGGACTCAGGTGGTGGTAGAGTGCCAACATGAGAGTTCACGATATTGATTCATACGATATGATAGTGAGAACTAACATGTTAGAGCAAGGTAAGACTCACATGGTAGAGCACGAGGCAGACGAAGACATTCAAGGGTACTCGAAAGAAATTCATGATGGTGGAGCGGGACTCCTCGGGCAAGTACTGTGCTCGCATGCGCATGAGCGACGGCCAGAAGACGCCCACACACGCCTCAAACACACAGAAGCCCGCTAGCTGCACGCGGCCTCCTGCTGTGATGCCGCCTCCCGGGGGAGGGTGGGGCTCCAGGAACCACTAGGAGGGGACGGGAAGGGGAGATGGAGGGAGAGAATGTGAAGATGAGGGCATGAGGGAGTTATTGGGCCTAGGGGACTCTCACATTGACGATGCACGGGAGCAGCAGCGAGAGCGACGAAATGGCGAACACTGCCTGCATGTAGACCTCCACCTTGAGCCCCGCACGGCCCATGAGGCGGGACGCGAGGGAGGAGCCGAGCATGGATGCGAGCATGAAGAGGGAGAAGATGAAGCCGTGCGGTATGGCCTGCTGTGATGGGGCTAGGGCTGGCTGGGGGACTCACGTTGACGATGCAGGGCATGAGAAGTGACAGCGAAGAGACAGCGAACACGGCCTGCATGTACACTTCGACCCGCAACCCCGCGCGGCCCATGAGGCGGGACGCGAGAGACGAGCCGAGCATGGAGGCGAGCATGAAGAGGGAGAAGATGAAGCCGTGCGGTATGGCCTGCTGTGAGGGGGCGAGCGCTGGCGTCCAGAGGAACACGAACGTGTACATGCTGGCTTCAAAGAGCGACTGGATGGCTCCTAGAATGGCGATCTTCTCATCTGGATGGTGAGAGTTGGAGGGAGCAGGGGAGCATGAGAGGGAAGAAGGAGCAGTGAGAGAGAGGAGTGAGGCGGAAAGAGGGAGCAGGAGAGCATGAGAGGGAAGAAGTCCAGGGGAAAGACAAGGGTGCACATGATGGCATCGAACAGTGACTGGATGGCCGCAAAGATGGCAATCTTCTCGTCTGGATGAGACTCGTACCTACGAGAAGCAATGGCAGAGACTGAAAGCATGCAGCCTGCACCTGAGACTTGCACCTGAGGCGATGGCATGGTAGGCCAGTTGGAACTGCAGCAGCAGCCCGTGCGACTGGTCAGAGTCCCCGTAGTTCTCACTCCACGTGCCCACTATCACCGCCATACCTACCGCACCCGTCATGTAGAGCAATCACAGTGCAGATCCGTTGCAACAAAGAGACTTGCACCTGAGGCGATGGCATGGTATGCGAGTTGGAACTGCAGCAGCAGCCCGTGTGACTGATCAGAGTCCCCGTAGTTCTCACTCCACGTGCCCACTATCACCGCCATACCTACCGCACCCGTCATGTAGTGCAATCACAGTGCAGATCCGTTGCAACAAAGAGACTTGCACCTGAGGCGATGGCATGGTATGCGAGTTGGAACTGCAGCAGCAGCCCGTGTGACTGATCAGAGTCCCCGTAGTTCTCACTCCACGTGCCCACTATCACCGCCATACCTACCGCACCCGTCATGTAGTGCAATCACAGTGCAGATCCGTTGCAACAAAGAGACTTGCACCTGAGGCGATGGCATGGTATGCGAGTTGGAACTGCAGCAGCAGCCCGTGTGACTGATCAGAGTCCCCGTAGTTCTCACTCCACGTGCCCACTATCACCGCCATACCTACCGCACCCGTCATGTAGTGCAATCACAGTGCAGATCCGTTGCAACAAAGAGACTTGCACCTGAGGCGATGGCATGGTATGCGAGTTGGAACTGCAGCAGCAGCCCGTGTGACTGATCAGAGTCCCCGTAGTTCTCACTCCACGTGCCCACTATCACCGCCATGCCCCCCGCCAGCAGCACCGACGCCGCATCAAAGGGCGCCACAGGGCCGAGGTTGAGGTCTGTCACCAACACGTTTGCCACCAGGCCTGTGTGCAGTGGGCAGAAGGAGGAAAAGAGGGGGGCGTGTAGCGTGGGGTTGTGGGGTCATATCATATGTGAATGGGAAGGTAATGAATCTTATGTGATGTATGTCATGGGCGTCACGTCATGGACGTGATGTATGACAGCAATCAAAAGACGAGCACAAACGTCTAACCTGACAGAATAGCCACAAGTCCATTCCCCAGGAAGATGGCTTTGGAAAATGCCAGGGTGATGGAGAGCCAGGTGGCTCAAAACCCCGAGCAAAGTGCTCAGCAACGAGCCAGGAGTCAAAGGCAGAGAAGAGCAGCGAGGTGGCGATGCCGGCTACCAGACAGAATTGCCACGAGCTCACACGTCTTACCTGACAGTATCGCCACAAGCCCGTTTCCGAGGAAGATGGCTTTAGAGAACGTGATGGAGAGCCAGGGTGGCTCAAAGCCACGCGCGAAGTGCTCAGCGACAAGCCAGGACTCAAATGCGGAGAAGAGCAGCGAGGTGGCGATGCCGCCCAGCACACGGCCCAGCACGAGGATGGAGAAGGCCGGGAAGTGCTTGGTGAGGCAGCTGAGGATGAAGGTGATGCAGTAGAGGATGCACGCCAGGCGACGCCCGCTGATAGGGGTGCAGGGTACAGGATACAGGGTTCAGGGAGAAAAACGGAGGGGAGACGGAAGAAGGTGAGGTGAGGTGACACATGAGGAAGTGCTTGGTGAGGCAGCTGAGGATGTAGGTGATGCAGTAGAGGATGCACGCCAGGCGACGACCGCTGGGGGGATTGACAGGGGAGAGACGGGAGTAGGATGGAGGGAGAAAGGATGACGCCGCTGGAGGTAACCTTCTGAAGAAGGTGCTTGGTGACGCCGCTGAGGACGTAGGTCACACAGTAGAGCACGCAGGCCAGGCGACGACTGCTGGGGAGGGTAAGTGGGAAGGGTAGTGCAGGGAAGTGCAGGGAAGTGCAGGGAGAAAAGGGAGAGGGCAGAACACCATTAGGGCGTGTAACTTTTTCCGTTTTTAACAAATGTCCGGACGGAGCCTCCAAACCGGCCGGACGGAGCTCCGTCTGGACCACAATTGTGGAACTTTTTGCATTTTCGAAAACAAAATTTCGCAATGAAATATAACATGCATTACAGAATTCGTACGACACTCCAAAAGTTTCGCCAACAAAAATCTGCGGCACATTATTGGTTGAGAAATTAACCCACCTCGTGCCCCAACCACAGCGCAGCCAAATCGGACGGTCCGAACGTGTGTCAGCAGGTTAGTCCGGACAACATTTTGGCAGAAAAGTGTCGGATTTTGTCCGGACAGTAGCGACGTCGCAGGGGGTCTTGCGAATACCTAAACGGAGTTTAACGAACATAGTTACCCTACAAAAGTCCGGACGGGGCCTCCGTCCGGACGATGGAAAGTGAAAAAGTTACACGCCCTTAGGTTGATTGTGAGGCAGCCCTCCACCTTAACCCTTGCAGCTAGCACACTGACTGACTGTCTGGCAGCCAGAGACACCACGATAGTGCCGAAAATCATGCATTGGAGGGAGAGAGAAGAAACAGTAGCGGCACTGCACTCACTGTCGGTCAGCCAACGACCCCACGATGGTGCCAAAGACCTTGGAGGAGCCAAAGCCAGCGATGAAGAGTGGTGTGGGCATGGTGTAAGCGAAAGGGATTGTGGAGAGAGACCAGCGACAGTAAATGCAACTCACTGTCTGTCAGCCAGCGATCCCACAATGGTGCCATGCCAAAGACCATGGAGGAGCCGAATCCAGCAATGAAGAGGCGGAGTGAGTATGTTGTGAGCATCATGGATTGGAGGGAGAGAGAAGAAACAGTAGACTCACTGTCTGTCCGCCAGCGATCCCACAATGGTCCCAAAGACCATGGAGGAACCGAAACCAGCGATGAAGAGGCGGCCGATGTCGCCCTTGTCGTACCCGTAGTGCTGGTACAGCGCGTACACGTACGGGCCCTGCAGCCAATCGCCCGCTGCCACGTTGGCATGAGCGAAGGGATGAGACGGAGGTGGGGTTGTTAAAGTGAGTGGAATTAGGATAGCATATGGTTGGAGGAGGGGAGAACACGGGAGCATGGGAAGGGAATGGGACAGTAAAGACTAGGCAGTAGACGAGCCAGTAGGTGTTTCTACAACAACCCCAAAACGAGTCAGCATCTATCACGTACCCATCATGAGGCAGTACACGAGAAGATAGTTGTTCTTGAAGGATTCGAACGCGGGGGTGGTCTGAGCGCGGTCCTTGGACCCGCGGGAGAACTCGAGCGCCAAGCACAGCACCACCAGCACCGCGAACACCACCCAGAAATACGCCTCCATGCCCGCCGCTGCTACCGCTGCTGCTGTTGCTTCTAGTGCTACTGCTGGTGGCTCCTGGTGCTGAGGTTAGGTCTAAGCGGCAAGTGCTGCTGAGGTCTGGAGCGCGGAATGTGAGCTGTCTGGCGTCTAGCGGGGATACACGGGGATACTCGTTTGCTGCTGCTAAGAAATAATTGACATTTGGGTTGTCTAACGCGTGTATATCTGGTTGCATGCGAGGCAATAAGTGCTGGGCTCCGGAAGCTTACCAGCATGATAGGTACGCCTCGGAGACGATAGGTAGTACTACTAATGAGCATTAACGGATATTCACTCGAAAACTGTTGAGAGCTAAGAACGCGATAGCAACTTGGTTTCGGTCGCCTCTAGAGGCGAAATTCGCAGTAGGTGACATCGCAGGAGCTACTAATGCAAAGCCGAATCCGTCATACTTTCAGCAACTGAGAAGCTGTTCACCATTCCAGCAATCTTAGCACGAACAATGCAGGAGCGCGGAGCGGACACCTTTATAACGCCATGAGGAAAGGAGCGCCCTGCAAGTTAATAGACGTGAACTACAGGAACTCCTGCACCCCGTCGTTGTCAGAATGCCGACCCTCTCATAACGGTTGCTGCGATCCGCCATCTAGTAGGGTATCGGAATGACTTATCTTAAGCCTCATGAAGTCGATTCGTTCTATATCGGCTTATGAACTGCCCGGTCGAAGGCTCGCGTTGTCAAGCACGCAGCAACAGACTCTAGGCGACTAATTGTCAAAATATGCCGACGAACACGTCAAGATAAGTAGCGTTTTGTCCACTGTAGGAAACCGGTCACGCAGAGATCGCTGCACTACTATTATGAAGCGCATTCTCAGCAAAACGGTCATTCACGGACCACCGGTCAAGGCGAACAGAATTTATGTCACGCGACGCTATAGAGCAAAGCGATTTTGTCTTGACGGAAGGCTCGGTGATGGAGAAGCATCTGACAGACTCGAGATAATGTGATTTGCAGCGCAAAATAAGTATGGCGTAAACACTTTACAGAAATCACTGGGAAGATGGAATTCGAGAAATAATGGCTGCAGTGTGGTTGAAACCACATGATACTTGAAGGACATTTAATACGCTATTGCCTTGTTGAGAGGTTTTCTCAAACGCCCCGCGTGAGACCCGCATCGGTTCAAAGAACTCAAACTCATTCCCGAGCCCCTCAAGGTAAAGTTAAGCGCAGCACCAATCGTACTACACTCAGGAGCACAAGGCAACATCCACAGAACAAAATGCAGCACACCCAATATTCCAATACCACCACGTACCAATTGGCCTCCTGTGGACCTTGATTCCACAGCATGCGATCCTTGGGAACCGCCCCAACCCCACGTGTACAGCTTGCCAACTGTTGCCGCCCGCAATGATTGCCCTTCACCCTCATCAGCACCACCTGATTTCAATATCAGGGCACAAGAGAAAAAGAATGAAGACTATTGCACCATGTGGCATGGACCGGAAGTACCAGCTTCATGCTGCACAACAACTGCAAAGAGCAACAGTCTATGGTTTGTTTTGTACTGTGACCAGTTGTGAGAACGACCAGCACACTCACTAGCAAGAGCTGCAGTGTGCTTCCACCCACACGACACCTGCATCACCTGCTTCCCTGCCAGCCTGCCTGCCACCCTCACTGGGACTGCTGACGAGGGTGCATGGTGAGGGCTGCTAGGAGCGAGAGGCGTGGAGAGGAATAGAGAAGAGAGGAGAGAGTGGTGAAGGGGTGAGGAAAGGTGGGGAGTGGTGAGGTACGATGGCAATAAAAAGAAGCACAACACCAGAGCGACCCTTGCATACAAAAGACGATAGATTCAATGTTTAACCAAAGGAAAACACAACAACTTTTGGTCACAAGTGGGAGCAGAGGAGAGCGCGGGAGAGCCTAGCACACACCCGTGTCCAAGGCAACCATACTCGTTCGCTCCCCATGTGAATAGGTGACCCGCCCCTGCAGGCATGCAGAGAAACATGATGAGACAGAATGCCAGGACGGAGCGTTGGAAGAGAGTGATTGGAAGGAGTGTGACGAATGAGAGAGGAGAAGCCATATAAACACAAAACCATGGCATTACCTGTGACAGCAGAGGTGTGGTAACCACCACACGCCACATCCGTTACAGCATGCTGCAGCGACGTCACCTCCACCGGCTCCTCCCGGTCCTTCTCATCCCCCAGCCCCTGCCATGTTGTAAGCAGATAAACATGCATGCACGGACACACATGCCATCATGCATGCATGCATTCAGCAGCGAATAAAGTGCCACTGATAGGATATTCTCAGGTAGATTGACTGAATATTCAGGTGCTGGGAGCTCCTCCAGTCCTTGCGCTGCCCATCCCAGCAGGGCACAGGTGTGGGCATGCAGCGTGGATGATGCGGTCATGGGCCCACACACTCGCACTCACACGTCGACTCGCACTCACACGTGGACTCGCACTCACACGTGGACTCGTACTTACACGTGGACTCATACTTACACGTGGACTCATACTTACACTCACACTAACCTGCTTTCACATCTCACATTGGCATAGACACTCGCACAGACTCACCAGCTGGGAGAATCTGTTTCCTCCAAACATGAACAGGCGGCCACTGTCTGCCAGAAATACACAGTGAGGAACAAGCAGACACACGCATGGATGGGTTCACAGGGAGGCGGACAGTGACATGAATGTACATACTTGAAGGGAGGCGCAGTAAGACACATGTATGCATACACCCCATCAACACATGCTGGCTCACTGTCAACACATGCCGGCTCACCGTCAACTCATGCCGGCTCACCGTCAACACATGCCGAGTGCATCAAGCCTGCTGCCACGTGAACAACCTGATGATGAAATGGGAGCACATACAGTAAGATTGTACAAGAGTGGATCAGGGTAGGGGAAAAAAAAATGAATAATGGATATTCCCTGCACGAAAGGAAAAAGGCCTGACTAAAGCAATGGTAACTTAACTTACGAATAACGTCTGTCCACAATTTTCCTGACTCCTCACCATATCTCGCAACCCACTTTATTGTTTTTTTATCATGGCACTACATCACAACATCATACTGCACTCTTGTTCACCGATTGCATACCTTGGAATTTGCCATCGCCTTAACAAGACGAGGGATGGACTCACTGAGGGTGAAGGGCGAAGGGTGAGGAGGGGAGAGGGGAGAGGGGAGATGGGAGATGGGAGAGGGGAGAGAGGAGAGGGGAGAGGGGTGAAAGGTAAGGAGAGAGCGGAGAGGGGAGAGGAGAGAGGGAGAGGGATGAGGAGAGAGGGGAAGAAACAAAGAAGGGAGCGAGAAGAAAGGAAAGGTAAGACGTACCAGCTTGAATCGAACCAGCAAAGAGACAACGACAATAGCTAAACAAGAGTTGCCTGAGCACACAAGTTGCACACTAGAACGCAGAATGCATGGATGCTGTTGAAGGGGACCAGTCGAAGACAAGCGAGCAGGAATCACCACCCTGGAGAAGAGCCTTGAAAACAGCTCCGCACCTGGATTTCCTGGAGAGGCGGGAGAAGAGCGGCAGGGGGCCGTGGCCCAGCAGGCCCTTGCCCCATGAGAGCAGCTGCCCGTTGGCTGCGAGGAAGGGGGAATGGGGAGGTGGACGGGGAAGGGGAAGGGAGGTGGTAAAGGAAACGGAGGATGGAGGAAGAAAGTGGGCTGTGACCGAGCAGGCCCTTTCCCCATGAGAGCAGCTGACCGTCGGCTGAGAGGGCGGTGGAAAGAGGAGGGTGGGGGTTGGTACAGGGAAGGAAGGTTGGTCAGAACGTGGGCCGTGGTTGCGCAGACCTTTTCCCCGTGAGAGCAGCTGACTGACTGTCAGCTGAGAGGGAAGTTGCGGGAGGGAGCATGAGAGCATGGGAGCATTGGGCAAGGGGGACATGGCAGCATGGGCGCACACGAGCCTACCGGTGACAGCGAGGGTGTGTTGACTCCCAAGGGCAATGTGTTGAATGCTCACCCCCACCAGCGACTCTGGCACACGGGGTGAATGCACCTTGGATGGAGCACCTGGAGATCGAAGGAGCAAGGGAGGGAGGGGGGAGAAAAAGGTTGTTGAAGGGATAAGAAGAGGAGAGTGTGTAGGATGCTCACCCCCACCAGCACCTCTGGCACACGGGGTGAATGCACCTTGGATGAAGCGCCTGGGGAGAAGTGGAGCAGGCAAGTAGGGGGTGGGTAGAGGTTGCAGGGACGAATAACGGAGAATGTGGCAAGGATCTTCACTCATAGCGGAAGAGCTGCAATTCTGAAGATTGGAAAACGCTTAAAGCAACTAACGGATAATAACGGAGACATCACGAATGACGGAGAATGTGGCAAATGCCACACGGGGCAAGTGCACTTTGAAAGGAGTTCCTGGGGAGAAGGGGATGGGAGGCATCAGGATTGATCCAGGATTGGGAGCGGTAGTGGTGGGAGCGGTAGTGGTGGGAGCGGTAGTGGTGGGAAGTGGTGGGAGCGGTAGTGGTGGGAGCGGTAGTGGTGGGAGCGGTAGTGGTGGGAGCGGTAGTGGTGGGAGCGGTAGTGGTGGGAGCGGTAGTGGTGGGAGCGGTAGTGGTGGGAGCGGTAGTGGTGGGAGCGGTAGTGGTGGGAGCGGTAGTGGTGGGAGCGGTAGTGGTGGGAGCGGTAGTGGTGGGAGCGGTAGTGGTGGGAGCGGTAGTGGTGGGAGCGGTAGTGGTGGGAGCGGTAGTGGTGGGAGCGGTAGTGGTGGGAGCGGTAGTGGTGGGAGCGGTAGTGGTGGGAGCGGTAGTGGTGGGAGCGGTAGTGGTGGGAGCGGTAGTGGTGGGAGCGGTAGTGGTGGGAGCGGTAGTGGTGGGAGCGGTAGTGGTGGGAGCGGTAGTGGTGGGAGCGGTAGTGGTGGGAGCGGTAGTGGTGGGAGCGGTAGTGGTGGGAGCGGTAGTGGTGGGAGCGGTAGTGGTGGGAGCGGTAGTGGTGGGAGCGGTAGTGGTGGGAGCGGTAGTGGTGGGAGCGGTAGTGGTGGGAGCGGTAGTGGTGGGAGCGGTAGTGGTGGGAGCGGTAGTGGTGGGAGCGGTAGTGGTGGGAGCGGTAGTGGTGGGAGCGGTAGTGGTGGGAGCGGTAGTGGTGGGAGCGGTAGTGGTGGGAGCGGTAGTGGTGGGAGCGGTAGTGGTGGGAGCGGTAGTGGTGGGAGCGGTAGTGGTGGGAGCGGTAGTGGTGGGAGCGGTAGTGGTGGGAGCGGTAGTGGTGGGAGCGGTAGTGGTGGGAGCGGTAGTGGTGGGAGCGGTAGTGGTGGGAGCGGTAGTGGTGGGAGCGGTAGTGGTGGGAGCGGTAGTGGTGGGAGCGGTAGTGGTGGGAGCGGTAGTGGTGGGAGCGGTAGTGGTGGGAGCGGTAGTGGTGGGAGCGGTAGTGGTGGGAGCGGTAGTGGTGGGAGCGGTAGTGGTGGGAGCGGTAGTGGTGGGAGCGGTAGTGGTGGGAGCGGTAGTGGTGGGAGCGGTAGTGGTGGGAGCGGTAGTGGTGGGAGCGGTAGTGGTGGGAGCGGTAGTGGTGGGAGCGGTAGTGGTGGGAGCGGTAGTGGTGGGAGCGGTAGTGGTGGGAGCGGTAGTGGTGGGAGCGGTAGTGGTGGGAGCGGTAGTGGTGGGAGCGGTAGTGGTGGGAGCGGTAGTGGTGGGAGCGGTAGTGGTGGGAGCGGTAGTGGTGGGAGCGGTAGTGGTGGGAGCGGTAGTGGTGGGAGCGGTAGTGGTGGGAGCGGTAGTGGTGGGAGCGGTAGTGGTGGGAGCGGTAGTGGTGGGAGCGGTAGTGGTGGGAGCGGTAGTGGTGGGAGCGGTAGTGGTGGGAGCGGTAGTGGTGGGAGCGGTAGTGGTGGGAGCGGTAGTGGTGGGAGCGGTAGTGGTGGGAGCGGTAGTGGTGGGAGCGGTAGTGGTGGGAGCGGTAGTGGTGGGAGCGGTAGTGGTGGGAGCGGTAGTGGTGGGAGCGGTAGTGGTGGGAGCGGTAGTGGTGGGAGCGGTAGTGGTGGGAGCGGTAGTGGTGGGAGCGGTAGTGGTGGGAGCGGTAGTGGTGGGAGCGGTAGTGGTGGGAGCGGTAGTGGTGGGAGCGGTAGTGGTGGGAGCGGTAGTGGTGGGAGCGGTAGTGGTGGGAGCGGTAGTGGTGGGAGCGGTAGTGGTGGGAGCGGTAGTGGTGGGAGCGGTAGTGGTGGGAGCGGTAGTGGTGGGAGCGGTAGTGGTGGGAGCGGTAGTGGTGGGAGCGGTAGTGGTGGGAGCGGTAGTGGTGGGAGCGGTAGTGGTGGGAGCGGTAGTGGTGGGAGCGGTAGTGGTGGGAGCGGTAGTGGTGGGAGCGGTAGTGGTGGGAGCGGTAGTGGTGGGAGCGGTAGTGGTGGGAGCGGTAGTGGTGGGAGCGGTAGTGGTGGGAGCGGTAGTGGTGGGAGCGGTAGTGGTGGGAGCGGTAGTGGTGGGAGCGAGGGAGAATTGAGTGCAGTTGCAATCAGACAGGACGACTCACGTGAGCCGAGTCCAAGCTGGCGGGCGGCATTGCCGCCCCACAAATACATCTGGCTGGCCTCTGATGGACAGGGGGGAGGAGAAGAGAGAAATACAAACAGACAGGGGAGGAGAAAGGGGAGCACAATGAGTAACAGATAGAGAGCAAGAAAATGGAGGACCAGAATAAATAGAACATTAGAACTTAGTGTCTAAAATAGAAGATGCTTGGTGAATCAGTGTGTGGACTAAGTTACCATCTATGGCTGCTGAGTGGAAGGCAGCAGCTGCAACGGCCACTACAGGCCGATCGAAGCCAACAACCTCTTTGGGCGACTGCAGGCACCAAGCATCGCACGGACAGAAAAAATTTTGGCCGTGACCATGAGACGAAAGGATGAAGACAGCACATCTGTGTTCACCCTAACTCTGCTTACATGGTTGAACACTGGAAGAACACTGGAAGGACAACAGTGAAACGGAAGTACCAGCAGCTACACTTACAGCGATGCACTCACGGCACCCTGCCATCCGCTGCAATCCGCTTACAGACAGCGGTGGAGCGGCTGCACTCACAGTGACATATGGTGGAGCGCAGGATTCACCCAACCCCAGCTGCCCTTGGTCGTTGAGTCCCATGCTGTACACCCTGCCATCCGCTGGGGGGATGCATCATGCATCATGCATCATGCATGTGCACAGACGCATGGGGTATGTGTATGCAATGATCGTCGTTGAGTCCCATGCTGTACACCCTGCCATCCGCTGGGGGGATGCATCATGCATCATGCATGTGCACAGACGCATGGGGTATGTGTATGCAATGATCGTCGTTGAGTCCCGTGCTGTACGCGCTGCCATCCGCCGTATCGACGCATGGGTAAAGAGCATCCGCCGTATCGACGCAATGATGGTCGTTGTAACCCATGATGTACCCCCTACCATTGGCTGGATGGATGCATCATGCATGTGCATGGGAAAGCATTCAGATTTGCATGTACGCCGTCAGATTCGCATGTACGCCATCAGATTCGCATGTACGCCGTCGGATTCGCATGTACGCCGTCGGGTTCGCATGTACGCCGTCAGATTCGCATGTACGCCGTCGGATTCGCATGTACGCCGTCAGATTCGCAAGTACGCCGTCAGATTCGCAAGTACGCCGTCAAAATCGCATGTGCGCCGTCCGATTCGCACGTACGCCGTCGGATTCGCATGTACGCCGTCAGATTCGCATGTACGCCGTCAGATTCGCATGTACGCCGTCAGATTCGCATGTACGCCGTCAAAATCGCATGTGCGCCGTCAGATTCGCATGTACGCCGTCGAATTCGCATGTACGCCGTCGGATTCGCATGTACGCTGTCAGATTGGCCCTTCTAGACGCGTTATCCGACGCTCCTTGATACAGCAACAAGTGACACGTCATCAGTACCTGTCAGCACGAGCGTGTGAGCACCACCGCATGCCACGTGGCACACGTCCTTATCCTCCAATGCCGCACACACTCGTGGGACGTTCACAGATCCCCCATCCTCATTCCTATCCGCTTCCGCTCCGCCATTTTCCCTGCCGACTCTCCCCCACCCCCACCACCCTCCGCCTCCGCCATTCTCCCCGCTGCTCTCCCCCCCTTTGCCCCCCAGCCCCAGCCGTCCGTGATCCCCGTTCCCCCACAGCGCAACCTTCCTTCGGGACGTCTCAAACGCTGACGTCCGCTGTTCCCGCGACGCATTGCTCGCTGCGCGCCGATTCGACTCTTGATGTGGATCTGACCAGTGGTGGGTTGCCGCGTGGCGGGTGTTTTGAGACGCAACGTCCGCGGGACTGGTAACCGCGTTCGTCAATTTCGCCGATACTGCGAAATCAGTCGCGGCGGTTATCAGTCTCGGCGCTGATACTACGAAATCGTCCGCCACGGATGCGGGAACGACGAAGCGCTTTCGCGCAACTCGTGCTTGGCGTGCAAGACGCAACGACGAGCGCAGAAAGAGAAAGTCCATGTCCGCGGAAGAGGAGGAGAAATGCCAATAGAAACTCTATCTCTGAAATAACGGCAAGAGGTAGCTGAATTTCTGAGCAATGTACACATGATACGCGGGAATTCAGAAACGTAAAAGCGCGTCCATGGCTAGTTATTGTATGTATCATCCGCCGCGGATGCGGGAAAGATAAAGCGCTTTCGTGCATCCATATCTAATCAGCTTGGCGCGCACGACGCAAAGAGGAGCGCTTTCATAGGATACAGAACGAAGGGTTGATAACATCTGAATGAGCAGCACGAGACTGCTGGTTTCTGCGTACGCTAAGCAAATCATAGGCAAATAGCACAAAGGGCGATGAGACGGGGAGGTTCAATAATGTGCGCTGCAATGCAAGTTATCGACGCTTCGTCTCACACCAGACCGATACACGTCTGAAACTCACTGAATTCCTCAGCAAATCAGATCTCAAGTCTGTTGTAGGTACTAGATGCCTGTTGCATTGCTTCTAGAACCAAGAGAATGTGCAGGCATCTGTAAATGATGCAGAACTTGCCTTAGAAAAAATGTCCTGCAAATCCAGTTACTGATATTTCATAAGAAGCAACTGATACAAAGCAAGGCATATGTATTAAATCACACTATCAACTATAACAGCAACTACACCATCCAATGTCAATCCCAGTATGGCGGGCCACCTAGGCCTCCACCCATTAGCCTATTCACCCATCCTCCCTTCTCTCCTCTTCTCCTTCGACAGTATCCAGTACACACATCAGCTCTAACAGCAACTACCATCCCACAGGTTCTCTCCTTCACACCCCTTCTCTGTTTCTCTCCTTCACACCCCTTCTCTGCTTCTCTCCTTCACACCCCTTCTCTGCTTCTCTGCTTCACACCCCTTCTCTGCTTCTCTCCTCCACACCCCTTCTCTGCTTCTCTCCTCCACACCCCTTCTCTGCTTCTCTCCTCCACACCCCTTCTCTGCTTCTCTCCTCCACACCCCTTCTCTGCTTCTCTCCTCCACACCCCTTCTCTGCTTCTCTCCTCCACACCCCTTCTCTGCTTCTCTCCTCCACACCCCTTCTCTGCTTCTCTCCTCCACACCACACCGCTTCTCTGCTTCTCTCCTCCACACCACACCCCTTCTCTGCTTCTCTCCTCCACACCACACCCCTTCTCTGCTTCTCTCCTCCACACCACACCCCTTCTCTGCTTCTCTCCTCCACACCACACCCCTTCTCTGCTTCTCTCCTCCACACCACACCCCTTCTCTGCTTCTCTCCTCCACACCACACCCCTTCTCTGCTTCTCTCCTCCACACCACACCCCTTCTCTGCTTCTCTCCTCCACACCACACCCCTTCTCTGCTTCTCTCCTCCACACCACACCCCTTCTCTGCTTCTCTCCTCCACACCACACCCCTTCTCTGCTTCTCTCCTCCACACCACACCCCTTCTCTGCTTCTCTCCTCCACACCACACCCCTTCTCTGCTTCTCTCCTCCACACCACACCCCTTCTCTGCTTCTCTCCTCCACACCACACCCCTTCTCTGCTTCTCTCCTCCACACCACACCCCTTCTCTGCTTCTCTCCTCCACACCACACCCCTTCTCTGCTTCTCTCCTCCACACCACACCCCTTCTCTGCTTCTCTCCTCCACACCACACCCCTTCTCTGCTTCTCTCCTCCACACCACACCCCTTCTCTGCTTCTCTCCTCCACACCACACCCCTTCTCTGCTTCTCTCCTCCACACCCCTTCTCTGCTTCTCTCCTTCACACCCCTTCTCTGCTTCTCTCCTTCACACCCCTTCTCTGCTTCTCTCCTTCACACCCCTTCTCTGCTTCTCTCCTTCACACCCCTTCTCTGCTTCTCTGCTTCACACCCCTTCTCTGCTTCTCTGCTTCACACCCCTTCTCTGCTTCTCTCCTTCACACCCCTTCTCTGCTTCTCTCCTTCGCACCCCTTCTCTGCTTCTCCTTCACACCCCTTCTCTGCTCCTCTCCTTCACACCCCTTCTCCTTCACACCCCTTCTCTGCTTCACAAACCTTCTCTGCTTCACAAACCTTCTCTGCTTCACACCCCTTCTCTGCTTCGCACCCTTTCTCTGCTTCACAGCCCTTCTCTGCTTCGCACCCCTTCTCTGCTTCACAGCCCTTCTCTGCTTCGCACCCCTTCTCTGCTTCGCACCCCCTTCTCTGCTCCACCGATTTTTTTTTTTTTTTTTTTTTTTTTGTTGTGGGAGGACAAAAATCCGTCCCGTCAGCTCCCCACTCAGAGGCTTGCTGACGGGCTAAGACCCTCAAAGTAGGGTACTGCCGTGCTCGGCTAAAAACCTCCATAGAATTTTGATCTCAGCTTCACCCCTTCCCCCTTGGCAGATTCCTTAGCAGCCCTTAAAACTTCCTTAGCAGGCCTTGACAGCTTTCTCAGCAGCTTCCTTAGAAGCCATTAGCAGCTTCCTTGGCTTCGCTTAGCAGCAACTTCCCCACTCCTTCACCCCCTCCTCAGCATCACAGTATTGAGGAAATGACTGTTAGGCGAGTAGCGTAAGATTCAAGGCACCAAGAGGGAAGGACCCTCCACACCCACGCCAGTGTGGAAAAGTCCGTGACACCAAGTCCTCCTCACCCACGCCAGTGAGGAAAAACTTGTGTTACCCGAGTCACCCCAAGGGAATCGCTACCTGGAGTGTGTGGTACCTTGCGAGCATGATTCTGCTGCAGTCAGAACCATGCAAGTCAAGGCCAGCCTCCATCACAAATCCCCTTGAAGCTTCCCGGGCAACGTGTGCCACTGCCTCTCGGCCTGAACATGCACACTCAGTTGCCTTGCCTCTCCACGCCACCCACCATCCCAGTCAACCCCTCGCCACCGTTCTGCCAAGGTTTTAGCCGCTTCCCCCCGTCTCCTCCCTTTCACAAAATTGCGGCTGATTCATCACGGCCATTTCAGTTAAGTTGATTCAGTGCGGCTGCTGTCTGCAACATCCGCTGCGTCGTCGGTGTTGTCCTGCTGCGTCGTCGGTGTTGTCCTGCTACCACTGCTGCGTCGTCGGTGTTGTCCTGCTACCACTGCTGCGTCGTCGGTGTTGTCCTGCTACCACTGCTGCGTCGTCGTTGTTGTCCTGCTACCACTAATCTGCTGTCGTGAAAGGATTACCGCCTGCTACCTTGAAGGGGTCTGCTACCTTGAAGGAGTTAAACTGCTGCCATGGGGGGTTAAACTGCTGTCGTGAAGGGGTTTCATCTGCTGCATCTGTTGTCCTGCTGCGTCGTCGGTGTTGCCCTGCTGCGTCGTCGGTGTTGCCCTGCTGCGTCGTCGGTGTTGCCCTGCTGCGTCGTCGATGTTGCCCATCTACATTCGCTTCATGAAGGGGTCATTTGCTGAAGGGGTTTTCATCTGCTGCGTCGTGAAGGGGTTTCATCTGCTGCATCTGTTGTCCTGCTGCGTAGTCGGTGTTGCCCTGCTGCGTCGTCGATGTTGCCCTGCTGCGTCATCAGGTGTTGTCGTCGGTGAAGTCTGCTGCGCCGTTGAAGTCTTTTTCATCTGCTGCTGTCATTTAAGTCTTTTTCATCTGCTGCTGCCGTTAAGACTTTTTCATCTGCTGCTGCAGTTGAAGACTTTTTCATCTGCTGCTGCCGTTGAAGTCGTTGTCGTCTGCTGCTAAGATCCAAGGTGCAGATCCAAGATGATCCAAGGTCCCATTGACGTTGTTGGGGATCCAAGGTGCAGATTCAAGGTGCCATTGAAGTTGTTGGGGATCCAAGGTGCAGGTCCAAGGTGCCGTTTAAGTTGTTGGGGTTCCAAGGTGCAGATCTGCAGCATAGAGTGTTAATCCGCACTCCTCGGAGCGCTTTCTGCAAAGAAAAACAAACAAAGTTAGTGACTTGAAGAATATTTCTTGCAAGCAACAATCTGTACAGAACGTAATAGATAGCTGAAGGTGGGAAGCTTACGAATAGGCTTCAATCGTTGAAGCTTCAAGTGGTGGAAGCTCCAAGGTGCAGATCTGCTGCTCCAAGGTGCAGATCTGCTGCTCCAAGGTGCAGATCTGCTGCTCCAAGATGCAGATCTGCTGCTCCAAGGTGCAGATCTGCTGCTCCAAGGTGCAGATCTGCTGCTCCAAGGTGCAGATCTGCTGCTCCAAGGTGCAGATCTGCTGCTCCAAGGTGCAGATCTGCTGCTCCAAGGTGCAGATCTGCTGCTCCAAGGTGCAGATCTGCTGCTCCAAGGTGCAGATCCGCCGCATGAAGGTGTTGATCGTAGATCCGCACTCCTTAGAGCACTTTCTGCAAGAACAAAAGAACAAAGTTAGTGATTTGAAGAATAATTCTTAGCAACAATCTGCACAGAACATAATAGACTGAAGGTGTAGAAGCTTACGAATAGGCTTCAATGGTTGAAGCTTCAAGTGGCAGAAGCTCTCTGAAGCTCTCTGAAGCTCCCTTGAAGTTCCCGTGAAGCTACCTTGCTCGAACCCCGCTGGAGAGTGAAGGCCCGCGCTCAAAGGGAGATCCTTAGAACGCGTTATCTGCACAAGACCCAAGATCGACGTTAGTGGCTGAAGTTTATGACTTGCAAGCAACAATCCGTAACAGATAGTTGCTGTAAATAAATGAACTTACTTTTGGCTTCAAGTTGAAGTCAATCTGCTGCGCCGTTGAAGTTGTAGTCAATCTGCTGCGCCGTTAAAGTTGTAGTCAATCTGCTGCGCCGTTAAAGTTGTAGTCAATCTGCTGCGCCGTTGAAGTTGTAGTCAATCTGCTGCGCCGTTGAAGTTGTAGTCAATCTGCTGCGCCGTTGAAGTTGTAGTCAATCTGCTGCGCCGTTAAAGTTGTTGTCAATCTGCAGCGTTGTCGGCTGTGTTGCCTTATTGCCTCCGCGTCTAAAGCTCGAAGAAGTCGTTCCTGAAAAGAAACACAAACAGTAGCACGAAGTTAGTGAACGGAAATCGAAATTGTGAAAACAAAAGAAAACAACGAATGCGACAATGAAAATGAATGAGGATGGAACGTTCGTGACGCTTAGGCTGCAGCTTGAAGAGGGAGGAGAAACTATACTACCCGAACCCGAACCCGACCCGCGGAGGATCATCTCCTCGCTGCAGCCCTCGCGTCAGAGGAACGGTGGAAAACGTTGATTAACACGAATGGCGGAGTGGCGAGATGCTATGATTGCAAAACGCAACAAAAATTAACAAAAAGACAGTGAAAGGAAGGAGGGAGGGAAGGGAACGAGACTTCCCAATCCGTTGGAGTTGGCGCCGAAGCAGTCGCGCGCGCGTCCCATGTCGAGTCGCCCGTCGCACGCCACACGTGTTGATGTCACGAGAGAAGGCCCGATTGAAAACCCACAAGCGCAAGTCATGATTCCTGAAAGGCAAGGAGAGAGAACACGTACAAGAGCACGAAGTTAGTAAAGAGAAATAAACATGAAAGACAAGAGAAAGCGAAGACTAAACGAAATACGAAAATGAAAATGAAAAACGGGGGTGGAACGTTCGTGACGCTTAGGCTGCAGCCAGAAGAGGGAGGAGAAACTATGCTACCCGAACCCAAACCCGACCCGCGGAGGATCATCTCCTCGCTGCAGTCCTCGCGTCAGAGGAACGGTGGAAAACGTCGATAAACACGAATGGCGGAGTGGCGAGATGCTATGATTGCGAAACGAAACAACAAAAAAACAGCGAAAGGAAGGAGGAGGGAGGGAAGGGAACGAGACTTCCCAATCCGTTGGAGTTGGCGCCGAAGCAGTCGCGCGCGTCACTTGTCGAGTCGCCCGTCGCACGCCACACAGAAGAAGTGTTGATGTCGCGAGAGAAGGCCCGATTGAAGCACCACAAGCGCAAGTCATGATTCCTGAAAGGCAGGGAGAGAACACGCACAAGAGAACGAAGTTAGTAACGAGAACGGAACGACAAGAGAGAAAAGACAAAACGAAATGTGAAAATGAAAATGAAAAACGAAGACAATGGAAAAGCCGACAAGAACACCAACAAAACGGGGGTGGAACGTTCGTGACGCTTAGGCTGCAGCCAGAAGAGGGAGGAGAAACTATGCTACCCGAACCCAAACCCGACCCGCGGAGGATCATCTCCTCACTGCAGCCCTCGCGTCAGAGGAACGGTGGAAAACGTCGATAAACACGAATGGCGGAGTGGCGGATTGCGAAACGAAACAACGAAGGAACAAGTGCTGAAAGGAGAAAGGAGGAAAAGGAAAGACACTTCCCGATCAGTCGCGCCGAAGCAGTCGCGTGCGTCCCTTATAGGTCGCCCGTCACACGTGATAAGAGTTGAAGGCCTTGAGTAGGCCATGTTGATCTTAAATCATATGTCAAGGTACTTGATTCTGCAAAAAGTACAAGAAAGAGAAGTCAGTAATCTTTTAAAGGAAACAGCAGTGCAGGTGCGAAAAAGCAGTGTGTAACGGAGACGTACCTCTGAAGATCGCCCGGTAGGCTGGGCGAGGGGTGGTTCGTTGATGGAGGCGAGTTGAAGGTTGGTTGATGGTGATGGCGGATGGTGGCGATGGCGGATCTTCAGGGTTGAACATTCCTCGTGAAGCATTAGCAGCAGCGTTGTATAGCAGCGTAAGTCGTAGGCCATAATGATCTCGAATAAGATTTCAAGTTACTTGATCCTGCAAGAAGTAAAACCAATTAAGAGAAAGTCAGAAATCTGTTTAACATGAACATTTAAAGGAAATAGCAGTGCAGGTGCGAGAAGACAACAGTGCAACGAAGAAACGCGTACCTCTGAAAACCGCCCGGTAGGTTGGGCGAGGGGTGGTTCGTTGATGGAGGCGAGTTGAAGTTTGATGGAGGGCGGATGGTGGCGGTGGCGGATCTTCAGGGTTCAACATTTCTCGTGAAGCATTTGCAGCAGCGGAGCCAGCGTTGTACAGCAGCGTAAGTCGTAGGCCATGATGATCTTGAATAAACATTCAAGATACTTGATCCTGCACCAAGTACAACCAATTAAAAGGTCAGGAATCTGTTTAACAAGAACATTTAAAGGAAATAGCAGTGCAGATGCGAGAAGACAATAGTGCAACTAAGAAACCCGTACCTCTGAAGATCGCCCGGTAGACTGGGCGAGGGGTGGTTCGTTGATGGAGGCGAGTTGAAGGTTGGTTGGTGGTGATGGAGGATGGTGGCGGTGGCGGATCTCCAGGGTTGAACATTTCTCGTGAAGCATTTGCAGCAGCGGAGCCAGCGTTGTACAGCACCGTAAGTCGTGGGCCATGATGATCTCGAATAAGATTTCAAGTTACTTGATCCTGCAAAAAGTAAAACCAATAAAGAGAAAGTCAGAAATCTGTTTAACATGAACATTTAAAGGAAATAGCAGTGCAGATGCGAAAAGACAATCGAGCAACGAAGGCGCTCGTACCTCTGAAGATCGCCCGGTAGGCTGGGCGAGGGGTGGTTCGTTGATGGAGGCGAGTTAAATGTTGGTTGGCGTGGAGGGCGGATGGTGGCGGTGGCGGATCTTCAGAGTTGAACAATTCTCGTGAAGCTCTTGCAGCAGCGGTGACAGCTTTGTACGGCAGCGCCTAAGGCGCCATTAGTCTTGACCATAGCAGAGGTTAACCATAGCAGAGTCTGTAGGACGACCAAGGCGTTGTGCAAGGTCATTGCCCTTGACCATTGTGCCTGCCAAGAAGCAATTAAACAAAGTCAGATCATGGCCAACAAGATGTGTAACATGTGTAAAAGACAGAGAAATTGACGTAACAACGCGTACCTCTGGAGTGTAAAGGGCAGGCTGGGCGGCAGGCGGGTGCGAGGATGGAAGCGAATTTGAAGTGTTGGCGTTGGTGGCGAGTGGTAGTGGTAAAACTCCAGAGGCATCCAGATGAAAGGACTTGAACGAAAATCGTGTGCTAGACTTGAAAATGAGAAGTCACTCTAATACATAGTTCTTGCCTAACAGACGGAGGTGCTTCACGGGACAAATGATCTTCTGGATGAGGCAGAAGCTACGTCACGCCGACGGCGTCTAACCGAATTCTGGGGTTAGCCTCAACTTGAGCGGCTCGACACGGCGGGCTGATTTCAGCCGCTCGCGGGTGATTTCAGCCGCTCGCGGGTGATTTTGTGTCTCTGCTCTGTGAGGAGATTCCCTCAGCAACCGTTGCTCAAGAGGTGGATGGAGAAGATGAGTGCACAGTGCGCGGCAAATGCAGCCACTTGTGGTGGTCACCACCACCACTTGTGCCACGAACCAAACACCGCAAGCGCTTTGCCTGAAGGATTTTTAGGTATGGGTACATCACTCTGAACGAAATGCGGGGGAAGAGAGGCTCGGTTGGAATACTGTCAGCGGAGCTGATTTGTTGACGTCACAACTAAACCCAAGGAAGCATCGCATGATTCTTTTTTTTCCAGTCCCTACGATTTGGGCGGCCAAATTTCAAGAATTCCACACCACATTCTACAGTACCTTTTGATTGCAAGGCGGGGGGGGGGGGGGGAATGGGGTGGTGTGACTGCCCAATTGCGATGGTTCCTTTGGCATCACTCACGACACGATGTCGGGCGGGCAAACAAACCACAACCCGAAGCGCGTTGCCGCACAACGTATACAGCACATCCCTGTGGGCGAAAAGCCGGGAATTCGAGGCTCGGACAGTGTAGCCGAGGCTGGTTTGTTGACGTCACAAAACAGCGAAGCGATGCCAAGGGAACCATCGCAATTGGGCAGTAGTAGTCATAGGAAGCTGCCTCGGGACTGTGCTGACGACAACTGAGCGACCGAAAATCATCGCTCAGTTCCGCGCCAAAACCCAGCAGTGACACGCTGGCAGGAACAAACACTCCTACCGCGCCGATGAAATCAATCGACCCCAGTGGAGTCACCCCACATCAGCACTAAAGATGCACTTTGGCTGACGACTAACAAGCGATTCTGGAATCGTAGCCCTTCAGTGTAAGCCGAAATCATCCATTTGTGACACGCTGTCATAAGCAGGGTGCCATGCTGTGCAGTACCGGCCACATCAGCAAAAACACGCGGAATCACCATGCCGTGTACGGAGAATCGCCCTTACTCCACGCAAGGGCGATTCTGTCTGTACTGTACGCATAGACTGTTTCCCATTCCCCCAGGAGCTCCACAGCGGGTGTCTGGCAGGTGGCGGTTCATAAGGGAGGAAGCGAAGTGTTACACTTTTTATGAATATATCTTAGGGTTTTGTAGATGCTCAAACTGAACTGAATGTGATTATATTGGATTCTAGCAGGTAACCTACGCACATGTTCGCCTGCGGATTTCTCGCCGAGTCATTCGGATTTCCCGCTTGGTTGCGCATCAGATCTCTGGTCCGTTCTGAACATAACGTTGGGAGAGGTGGTTTAAAGATCGCACAGCCAGGTGAGCAACGGTCTGAAGCGGTGAACTAATAGAACCGCTCAAAAGTGCACAATACCGTGCTGGAACGCGGAATAATTAACAGAAAGCAAGCAGTTGCACCACACTTACGCGACACGATAGCTGACATGCTGGTGTGAGGAGGATTATCAGAAGCAGTCAGAAGCAAAGACTAAGGAACCACAGTAGTGTCATAGCAAGCAAGAGGAAGCAAGAGGAAAGTGTCCATGGTAAGCAAGCGGAGGAATCAGTCAAGCAGTCAACGAACTCCTGAATTACGTTTCACGACAGCATTTCCGTTCTTACGGTTCACGGCCACTCAAAGGCGCTTGCCGAATCGCTCGTCGATGGTTACGCTTCTCCCGCATCGGCACTTTCGCGTTTTGTTCTTCCGCAGACTTTACTGGTTTCTTTGGAATATCGTGTGTCTATTATCGTAAAAGAACGTACCTGTCGCATTTAGCTATGGCGGCGGCTGCGGTGCTGCCAGCACCCACGCAGTTCAAAGCGGCTCGAGCCGTGGTGGCGGTAATGGAAGCGTACCGCGACGCGCGCGTGCAGTTCGTCATGAAAGTCGGCGAACTCGCGGTTTCGCCTCAGGTGCGCCTTAATCTCAGTCTCTTTCGTGCTCTAATCTCAGTGTCTCTCAGCATCCGAGCTTCGATCTGCGAATTCATGGCGAATTCATGGCGGCGAATTCATAGCGAATTCACGGCGGCGAATTCATAGCGAATTGTTGGTGAATTCATGGCAAATTCATGGCGAATTCATGGCAAATTCATGGCGAATTCATGGCGCTGCTGGGTGAGGTTCCTTTTTTGCGATTCGCCAGCTCGCTGGCTCTATTGACTCCGAATGCATTCCGCCCGCGTTTCTTCCCCCGCAGAACGCGGAGGCGCTGCTGTCGCTCGGCGCGCTGCAGCTGCTGCTGCCGCTCGCGCAGGACAGCATGGCGTCCGTGCGATCCGCTGCGACGCTGTCGCTGGGTCGCCTGGCGAATGTGTCGCACACGTGGTCGCACCACCTCGTGCAGCGCAACGTGCTGCCGTCGCTCTGCAAGGCGCTCACGTCAGTCCTGCCTTAAAGTGCCTTAAGTGCGGAGTCATTTCTTACGACGCCTTATCTGCTTTTACATCCGCGACTCAACAGCTTTGTATGCAACGCACTCACATCAGTCCCACCGCTGTCTTTGTTCCCTCTCCTCACCCTCCAATCCCTCGTCTTCCCCTCTCTTCTTCCTCTACCCCCAGCGGCACCAATCGCCACCACAAGCGCTCTGCAGCATATCTAGTCAAGGCCGTGTCGCGCCACGCTGGCGCTGAGCTGGCAGAGGCGGGCGTGCTGCCGTTGCTGACGGAGTGCCTTCTGGATGCCATGCTGGCGGTGCGGGAGACTGCTGCGTGCGCATTGGGCCACGTGGCAAAGCACAGCGGTGACCTGGCGATGAGAGTGGTTGAGACGGGTGCAGTGCGGTTGCTGGTGACATGCCTCCAGGTGGGGTTCACAACAGCATGGAGACCTGGTCAACAGTAACTCATGCCCTAATTCATGAATGACCTGCTCTTTTAAAAGGCCCATGCTTGCGCCAAACATTGCTTTTCTCATGCTCACATTGCCGCTCCTCACGTCCAGCCTTCTGCCCTTTGCCCTTCTATCTCATGTCCTCAAATATCTTGTCCCCATATCCCGTGTTCCCATACCTCTCATCTCCCTTATCCCATCTCCCCATACCTCATGTCCTTATACCTGATGGCAGGACGAGGCTGTAGCGCGGATAGCCCTCTCAGTGCTGAGTGACGTGGCACGCCACTCGCTGCTGCATGCTACAGCCGTGGCCGATGCGGGCGGCATTACCGCCGCCGTCTCTCTGTTGGGATCACCTGACGTCAAGACAAGGCGTCAGGTGCTGTCCTGATGCCTGGCACCAACTGTTCTGATGCTCTCAGCATCTCTGCATCCCAAAGGCCCATTTCCAACCCCCCTTTGATCACCTCTGCTGTCCTCTGCACCACCACGTATGCCCTCCCCTTCTCTCTGCCCACTTCTGAACAGCCACCTTGGCTTGGCATCTCTACAGCACCTCCTTTTCACCCGTTTGCGCCTCTTTGCACACCCGCTTGTCTTTCTGCCTCTCCGGTTTTCCCACCCATCTGCACCACTCTGCACCCCTTACAGGTCTGCGTCTGCATTTCTACCATCGCCAGGCACTCTGAATCCCTCGCCCTGGTAAGCACTGCTCCAAACCATCCCAAATCGTCCAGAACTGCTCTAAACCGTTCTAAACCGCTCTAAACAGCATAGCCACTTCACCTGTCCGCCTACGCACTCCTCATTTCCCTGTCTCTCCGAATCTCAGCAAGTGATGGACAATTCCGGGCGTCCCGTTTGCTGCTCTGCCTACACAACTCATCGCCCCCCCTGCGGGCATCAGCAGCAGCTCCAACCCCTCCCTACCCACCCGTCTCCCCCAGTAGCCCTTCCCCCTCGCTCCTCCTTCCATCCCCCTCTCCCTTTCCCGGTGTCCTCTCTCACTTCTCTCTCTTCCCCAATTCAAAGCAAGTGTTGGACCAACCCGGAGCATCTCGCCTGCTGCTCTGCCTGCACGACTCATCGCCCTCCCTACGCGCATCAGCAGCAGCGGCAGTGAGGGAGGTGGCGAGGCAGGGACCGGCAGCAGCAGGCAGGCTGGTGGGCATGGGGGGCATTGGGCCGCTGCTGGATGCTGTGGCCGCATGGAGGGACGAGGGCGAGGGGGAGGGCGTGACAAAAGGCTCCGCCAAGGTTTCAGGTGAGTGATTTCTGTACTCTTTGTGTTGTCGTTGTGTGGGGCATGGGGGGCATTGGGCCGCTGCTGTATGCTGTGGTCGCATGGAGGGACGAGGGGGAGAGGGAAGGGGGGGGGGATCGAGGAGCGGAGGGGGAGGGGAGCCAGGAGCGGAGGGGGAGGGGATGACAAAGGCTCTGCCAGGGTTTCAGGTTGGTGACTTGTGCTTTCCTGTGCAGTCTCTTCCTGTGCTTTCTGTGCGTTTTTCCCGTTCCGATTTCCTGGTGCGATGCTGGCACAGGCATGCCTGCTCTGCTCCTTTGTTTCTTCGTCGCGTATCTATGGCTTCTTGACTGTCTGACACAACAACTATCTGTCAGCCGTACGCTTGTGTTCACACACTCCCCATACCTCCTGCTCATCTCCCAACCATCACTCAATCCTCACCCTCTCCCAACCATCACTCCATCCTCACCCTCTCCCAACCATCACTCCATCCTCACCCTCTCCCAACCATCACTCAATCCTCACCCTCTCCCAACCATCACTCCATCCTCACCCTCTCCCAACCATCACTCCATCCTCACCCTCTCCCAACCATCACTCAATCCTCACCCTCTCCCAACCATCACTCAATCCTCACCCTCTCCCCATCATCACTCCATTCCAGGTCATTCTAACCCCAACCGTACCATCCCCCAACCCACACCACTCCTCTTCATCTCCCAGTGGTGGTGGCCCTCGGCTTCCTGGCAGCTTCCTCTGCTGAAGCAGCGCTGGCAGTGGTGGCATCGGACGGCATATCCCCGCTGCAGGATCTGATAGTGGAGGGCGATGCTGACGTCACTCTCAAAGGGGCGTGCGCCTGGGCCTTGTCTCAAATGGCTTCCCATGGGTGAGAACGGTTCACGGTGCACGAGGATGGGTGGGGATGCTTGAGGGTGGGTGAGGATGGAGTGGGTATTGGTGCTGATGGGTGAGGATGGGTCAGGGTGTGTTACCATGGTATGCAGCACTGGCTGGCAGTGGTGGCATGGGACGGCATATCCCCGCTGCAGGACCTGATTATGGAGGGCGACGCTGACGTCACTCTCAAAGGGGCATGTGCTTGGGCCATTTCATAAATGGCTTCCCATGGGTGAGGATGGGTGAGAATGAGGGAGGATGGGTCGAGATGGGTGAAGTTAGGTAAGGATGGTTCGGGATGGATAAGGAGGTTCAGGATGGTAAGTGTATGTTCTTGACAGAATTTGAAGCCTGGCTATTATAGCAGCAGCAACATGATCTCTTTTCCTCTCTTAAACTCTCCTTCTGCCATGTTCATTCCTTTGGCACGTGCCAGTCCCAGCTACGCCAAGGCAGTAGCAGACAGTGGGGTGTTGATCGACATGGTAACAGCAGCCACCGTCCACCTCCCTGCTCCCAACCCTGCTGCCGAGCCTGCCGCTGCTGCCACGGCAGATGGTGCAGCTGTTACATCCACTGCTTCTGAAGGAAGTGGCCCGGCAGCGGAGGCTCGGGAGCGGTTGGTGCGGGCAGTGAAGGACGTGGTGGTTCGGGTGAATGACATCGAAGCTCTTGATGCACTGCTGCAGGTAGGTACATTGCCTGCATCCGTATGCACTGCTGCAGGTAGGTACATTGCCTGCGTCCGTTTGCGCTGCTGTATGCACACCCCCTTATTATTTTTCCCCTCACATGTTGCCTTCATGTTGCCTGTATGCCTTCATCCTCACATGTTGGCTTCTCTCACATGTTGGCTTCTCTCACATGTTGGCTTCTCTCACATGTTGGCTTCTCTCACATGTTGGCTTCTCTCACATGTTGGCTTCTCTCACATGCTGGCTTCTCTCACATGTTGGCTTCTCTCACATGTTGGCTTCTCTCACATGTTGACTTCTCTCACATGTCACCTCACGCTTGCCGCTGCATCCAAGCTCCCGTCCTCTCCTCCGCTTCGCTGTCCTGCATCTCACTCCCCCCCTCACCCTCCCCACCCCTTCTCCCCTCCCTACCCCCTCCGCCCTTCTTCCCCTCTTCCTCATACAGTGGACGAAGCTGCCGGATGGCATACTGGAGTCTGTCCTGCATCGCATGTCTGTAGTGCTCGCTAAAGACAACGCTTGCCGCCCGACCTTCCTCGCGTCGAACGGCTTCACCCATCTGCAGCGCCTGCTACAGCTGGCAGAGGCAAAAAGAGCCGCTGCTGCCGCCGCCGCCGCCGCAAACGCTGCCGCCGCCGCTGCCGCTGCGGCTGACGGTGCTAATGCAGAGAGTCCAGGAAACCGGGCGGCGAAGGTGACCCGATTTGATCCTGCCTCAGTGCGCTGCATAGAGGGCGGCGTGGATTGGGACCTAGTGGAAGACCATGTTTCGTCTATCAACTCACTCTTTCCATTTGAGGTATCCCGATTCTACTCAGCAGACTACCAGCAGCACCTTCTACAGAAGCTCTCAGACAGCGTCAAACCGGAGTGGGCTGCGATAGCTACGGCAGCTGCTAGCCCCCGAGCCATGTCGATCAAGGCTCGGGAGGGGAGGTTCGTGAGGGGCGGGAGAAGGCCGGTTGATGTGGAGGAGGTGGGGAGAGGGGGGTGGGAGGCTCCGGATTTGGGGCCAGTGGTGGAAGAGGAGGGGGAGGGGGAGGAGGATGGGGGAGAAGAGGAGGGTGGGGAGGAGTTGGAGGGGGGGATGGGGGAAGGAGGAATCGGTGGGGAGGGTGATGGTGAGGGGGACGGGTGGTGGGGAGGTGATGGGGATGGAGGGGTGCAGCTGATGCAGGTGCGGGTGGGGAGGAGCGGAGTGGAGCGGATAGAAGGAGGGAGAGAGGAAGTTGGAGGTGGAGCAAGAGAAATGGGAGGAGGAGAGGGGGGAGAAGGGGTGGCTGGAGGGGAGGGAAGAGGGATGGAGGATGATGGTTCTAGTGTGCAGAAGCACCCTAGTTTGTTGACCAGTGATGGTGGGCGTGGGGCTGGTGAGGAGAAGAGCGACAATGCAGCAGTTGAAGTAGTGAGAGGGACTCCTCATGAGGCGGTGGATGGTGGTGGTGGAGTGGTGCAGCATGTGGGGGGAGTGAAGAATGGTACCGTAGTGAGGGGTTGAGAGGTGGAAATGGGCGGATGGCTGATGGAAATGGGGAAGCAAAGGATGGAGATGGGGGGGAGAAGGTTGGAATTTGGGGAATGAAGGATAGTAATGAGGAAATGAAGGATGAAACTGGTGGATTGAAGGTCAGTGAAGAAGGGATTGGATTAAGGATAGAAAGAATGGGATGAAGGATGGTAATGGGGGGACGAAGGATGAGAATGAGGGAATCAAGGATGGGAATGCGAAGCAGATTAAGGAGCTAAGGCACAAGTTGTTTCAATATGGTTGAAATAGAGTGCCTTGTTTGGGTTGAACTAGTGGTCTAAATATAAACACCCTGTTTTTCACTGTCTGTTTGCACATTCAATTCACTGTTTGCCAACAGTCAAGCCCAACGAATACAGTACGAAATTCCGTTTCCCAGCCTTTATGAGACGGTTATCATCGGCCCTATGCGCCAGTGATCCTGACGGGATCTTCTCCGTCAACGTGGGGCCCGTGGGCGCATATTTATTGCGCCCGGGCGGACCGGCGTGGGGTGGGGACACCAGTGGGGGAATAGGCGTGGTGCCAATATGCCATCACAGCCCATCTCAATTCCCCCTCGATCGAACGGTCGTCGTTGTCGCAAACAAAGGTGCTGCATTTCGCGAATGCACCTTGCCGTTCTGCGAGTTCGCGAATTCCGTGTGAGCCACAGTATATTCTTTCGCCAAGTGATTTTGTGCGCCCACTTTCACCATTCCTATCTTCTTCTACAGGTATCCCTGTCTCTCCCTCTGCACTTCCCACCCCACCACTTACCTTCCAGATAAAATCTAGGGTCTGCAATCGTACGCCCTTTATCTAGGGTCTGACCTGGCAGACATTTTTAGGAGGCGCCTGTTTCTGACGCAAGACTTCATCGGGGCGTTCTTTCTTGTAGTCGCGTGCTCTAGATCTGCGAATTCCGCTACAATGCGCGGGTTTACGGGGTTGGCGCTACGATATTTCCGAGTTTGATGCATTCGCTGGCCTTAGGGTTAGCTACCTTTTCTAGTATCCTGAAACTCGATTCTCAGTATCCACGTTGAAGCGTCAAAAAGGGATTTTTTCGCGTCTATTAGGGTTAGCGATGTCGACCGGCGAAGCGGAGGTTGCCGGAGAGGCGGCTGCATCACCAGCGCCGCCTCCGCTCGAGTGGAAATTCGGTCAGGTTTTCGGCGAGCGGGCAGCTGGAGAGGAAGTTCAGGATGGTGAGTTGGAGTAGTTACTATACCTTAACGGTTCTTAGGGTACATATTTAACGGTGCAGATAAGCTCGATGAAATACGTTCTTAGCACATCATCTGGCGATATTATGCGTGTGTTAGGATTGCCGAATCGCGCTGTCGTGTCGTAAAGCCAGAATGCACGATCCAGCAAACCGTTAGTTGCATTGCTCGGCTGGCTCTGAGCTTGGAGCGTTATGACGTAAATGGAACGTTATGTCCGTCCGACCATAGGCTACACTATGGATGTTTGATTTAGGGATTAGTGGCGGAATGCGCAGTCCTGACAATGGTGACATCTAATGGCGAGTAACATATCAGCGATTTTCGAGGCGAGTAAAGAATCATCCAATGTAGACATTAGTTGGCGGAATATGCGGTTTTGACACCAACAGCTAGACCGAATGTCCAAAGGTTATAAATTGACGGTGCCGACCAGTTTTGACGATGAAACTCTATCTAGTTCGAGTATTCTTATCAACTCTAGTCAAACTGCATGCGACAATCATTGAAGGACATGAAGCTGCAGTTTCAACTACATACTCTTTCAGTCCTGGTCGCCAGACTTCCTGATTATATCAAGATTGCTGTGCTCTGCATTCCATGTACTTTCTGCGTGCTCTGCATTCCATGTACTTTCTGCGGTTCCGTACGGTTCTGTGGTGCGGTGCAGTGGACATCATATCCGCGATTGAGTTCGATCGCTCCGGCGAGCACCTGGCGACGGGCGACAGAGGCGGGCGAGTGGTGCTGTTTGACCGCATTGACCTGCGCGATGTGAGTGGTGCTGCTTGACCGCATTGACCTGCGCGACGTAAGTCGCTTTATCTCCTGCTCGCATTATGTCAGTAGCATGACGTCAGTACTATTTGCATGATATGTCGCCTGCGTGCTGTTCTGCACGACGTCAAGCACTATTATGCGTGGCCTGTTTATGCATTGATCCGCATGACATCAGTCAAATTGTGAATGATTACTAATCTCACCATTCACCTTAAACCAGATAGCACCCACTTCTCTCTGATTCGTTCGCATGCACTCTCGTATTGGAATCTCCGATGGTGATGAGATGAGTCTGTAGTTGAGAGTGCAGGCGGAGACGCAAGGCAGACGCCTTTCAAGTCGTCGTGTGCACTCTTCGCTTGCGTTTCGCTGGTGCCGCTGAAGCTCACTCCTGCTCGCCCCATCTCACGCCTGTTCACACCTCCTCACGCCTGCTCATGCCTTCCTACCGCATCCCTTCCTTACCGTGCGCGCGTCCCCTCCCTTCCCGTGCGCGCATCCCCATGGGTACCGTCAGGCGCGGGGCCGGCGGGATATGGAAGCGAGCGACTACCCCCCCGCCGCGCACCAGCAGATCGACTACCGCTACTCCACCGAGTTCCAGAGCCACGAGCCCGAGGTACGGCTGCTTTGTGTGTGAGAGGATGGGGAATGCGCACAGATAAGGAGGGTGCTTGTGCGAATCATGCTCTTTTGGTAGGTTGCATCTGGTCAATCTGGTGGACGGGTATCCTCACCCGCAGATCAACTACCGTGACTAGGTGACTTTTGAGTCGACTCAAAAGTCACCGGGTATCCTCACCAGCAGATCAAGTACCGTGACTCCGCAGAGTACCCACGCCACGACCTCGAGGTACGTTACGGCTAGGTACCATGCGCGGGAGTGGGACAATGGGAGGGGTGCGGGTAAGGGGGCTGACAAAGTGGGCCGCGCTGTTGGTGTCACCGTACGGCGGGTGCAGGCAGGTAAGGTGCGGAACGCGGACATGGAGGTCGGGGTTGTAGGACGCACGCACCCATGGTGCGTTGCGTTGGTGGGCGGCGCGCGCTTGCAGATAGAGAACCGCTGCTGCTGCACCAAGGAGTGGCTGTGCGCAGGAGCGGTGCTGGAAGGATCTGGCACGGAAGGATGGATGAAAACTTCTAACGGCCTATCATCACGAGCACCAGGAGACGTACACTTCCCGTTCAGAGGCCTCAGATAGTACTTTCCACCTCCACCCCTTTCGCACCTCTCCACATTCAACCCCTACCCTTCCTCTCCCCATTTCGACCCCCCACCCCTCCCATCTTTCCCCTCCCTCCCATCATTCACGTCCCTTTCCTTCACCCCATCCCGCCCGTCCCCAGTTCGACTACCTCAAGTCACTGGAGATAGAAGAGAAGATCAACAAGATCCGGTGGGTCAACTCGTCGCAGGGCGCCCTGTACGTGCTGTCCACCAACGACAAGACCATCAAGCTCTGGCGCGTCACCGAGCGCCGCGTCAAGGCCGTCTCGCAGTTCAACTGCCCGCCCCGCACAGCCGCAGACTACCTCGCCGCGGCTAACCCCCCATCCGACTCAGCAGCAGCAGATGCGCTTCCCACGCCTCCGGTTTCAGTCCCTGGCGGGCCGCAGATCAACCCGCGGTACCTCCCGCGCCCTGGGTCGCTGTCTGCTGCATCAGCTACGGCCAGAGCGGTGGCTGCGGGTGCTGGAGCGGTGCTGAACGGTGTGGGCGAGGGCATGGAGCTGGATTTCCCTCCTGGGGGGTTTCCTCAACTGCGCCTCCCTGCTGTGGTCAGTGCTGTGCTGCCTGCCCTGCTGTGGTCAGTGCTGTGCTGTTTGCCCTGCTCTGTGTCTCGTGCCGTGCGTGTGTTGTCGTTGCTGCCAGCACAGGTTGTCGTTGATTCGGCTACTTTGTCCCACTCCTATCTTCTCCTCATATTCTCGTTGCCTTCCCACAGTGCCCTCCCTCCCACTTTGCCCCACCCCACCTTGCCCTCCCTCCCACCGCGCCCTCCTCCCACCTTGTTCCCCCCGCCACCTTCCCCCCCCTCCCACCTTGGCCTCCCTCCCACCTACTGTCCGTCCTCTCTCCCACCTTGCCCTCAATCAATCCCACCTTGCCCTTCCTCCATCGTGCGTCTCTCCCCTCGTCCTTCCCTTTCCCCCTTTCCCCCATCCCAGGTGTCAACCAACGAGACTACGCTGGTGGCGCGGTGCCGCCGTGTCTTCTCCAACGCGCACGCCTACCACATAAACTCCATCTCCTGCAACAGGTCAGTGTGTTGTTGTAACTGTATGCTCGTGCAACAACTCAGTCAGCTGCTGCTGCTGCTGCTGCAGCTTACAAGCAGTAGTCTGTGCTGCCGCATAGCATTGTCTGTGTGCCACCGCAGCGACTACAGGACGGTCATCTCAACTGACGATCTTGCAGGGTAACCTGTGGAGCTCGAGGCTTGTTGACAAGCCTCCATCACATTCCTCTCCCCCCTTCCCCCTCACAACCCCTCTCAGTACATTGCCCCTTCGTCTTCTTTCTCCCTCCCTCCCCCTTCTTTCCTTCGAATCCCTCACCCCTCCTCCCGCTCTCTCCTTCCCTTCCAACCTGTCTTTCCCCTGCCATCTCTCCCCTGCCCTCCCCTGCCCTCTCTTTTTGCCCTCTGCAGCGACCGGGAGACGTTCATATCAGCGGACGACTTGAGGGTGAGCCTGTGGAACCTCGAGAACAACTCACGAGCCTCCCTCACCTTGCCCTCATCCCTCTTCTCCCCTCTCTTTCCCTTCTCCTCATCTCTTCCCCCCTGCAGCGACCGGGAGACGTTCATATCAGCGGACGACCTGCGGGTGAACCTGTGGAACCTCGAGAACAACTTGCAGAGCTTCAACGTGGTGGACATCAAGCCCGCTAACATGGAGGACCTCACAGGTGTGCTGCAACGTTGCGAGCATAGCTGCAACGTGGTACACCCACAGGTCGTTGGCGTGGTGCAAGTGGGATCTCATAAGCTGTGTCTGTGTCTCAACTGGCACAAGAATGCGTCACTGCCCCTACCTTTCCTCAATCGCCCTGTTGCCCAGCCCCTTTCCACTCCCCTCTCCTGTCGCCCTCCTGTCACCCGTCTCCACCCCCCACCGCCCCTGCCCTTCTTCCCTCTCTGCCCTTCCTCCCCCTCCCCCCAACACTCCCCACCCACTTTCTCTTCCTCCTCCTGCAACTAAACATGTGCAAAGCAACGAGCTGAGTTTACTCGGCTTGTCCCTGGGCACACTCGTACGAGTAATGTCACGAGCCGAGTTTAGCTCGTCAGAGTTTTTTCAGGGGAAAAACAAGCTCGTGACTCGTCTCTTGTCACGAGCCTTTTAAAAGCTCGTCCGTGCTTAGCTCGGCTCGTTGTTCTATACCAGCATGTACATGCCTAATTTTGTAAACCTGCTGCCTAATAAGATACCCTGCAAACATCAAATAAATATACCCATATCCAGACCAGGTTTTTCGCCCTGGAGAGCGGCAATTTTGGGTGGGGGATCGCAAAACCAGCCCAACGCAATGAGTGCTCGGCTTGTTTTAAAAACTCGCCGAGCGAAACTCGCCTCGGCTCGGACGAGTGATTTTCACGGAAAATCAAAGTCATCACTCGCCCTCCAACGAGTGCCTCGTACGAACCGAGGCGAAAAGCTCGCCTCGTTGCACATGTATACTGCAACCTCTCTCAATTCCTTCGTGCCCCCCTTCTCCCCCTCTTCTCCCACAAACTCAACCAGAGGTGATAACGTGTGCGGAGTTCCGTCCCTTCTCCTCCCTTCGTCCCTCCTCCTCCCTCCCTCAACTAGAGGTGATAACATGTGCGGAGTTTCACTCCACGCACTGCCACTCGCTCGCCTACTCCTGAGGCGCCTCAAAACCATACCCCCGTTCTTTTCCCTGCCTTCCCCTCCCCACACTCCCCTCCCTCCCCCCTTTACCAGAGGTGATAACATGCGCGGAGTTCCACCCATCGCACTGCCACTCGCTCGCCTACTCCACCTCCAAGGGCACTATCCGCCTCATCGACATGCGCCAGTCTGCTCTCTGCGACCAACACTCCAAGCTGTGAGCCATGCTGTACTCGTCTCGCCGTCCTGTGCCAGTCTTGCCGTTTGTGTGCGCGCTTTGTCGTTTCTGTGCTCGTGTTGTCACTCGTGTTGCTGGTAGTGCGTGCACTGTCTGCATGCTGTGCTCTCCTCACTGCCACTCGCTCGCCTACTCCACCTCCAAGGGCACGATCCGCCTCATTGACATGCACCAGTCTGCTCTCTGCGACCAACACTCCAAGCTGTGAGCCCTGTTATGTCCTCGCGTGGATTGTAATGG